TCTTTTATTAGTTGGTCTTTTATTATTATCTTTTTAGCCTTCCAGTCTTTTAGTTACCTTAACACCTTTTTGACCATAACGGTCTTTTAGTGTACCCGTTCTTTTGTATAGGATTTGTATAAAACGTTCACATTAAAAGACCGGAAAGGCTAAAATGATATTAAAAGACAAGGTAATAAAAAGACCGGTTCATTAAAAGACCGGAAAGGCTAAAAAATATTAAAAGACCGGGTAATAAAAAGACCGGTTCATTAAAAGACCGGAAAGGCTAAAAAACATTAAAAGACCGGGTAATAAAAAGACCGGTTCATTAAAAGACCGGAAAGGCTAAAAAACATTAAAAGACCGGGTAATAAAAAGACCGGTTCATTAAAAGACCGGAAAGGCTAAAAAACATTAAAAGACCGGGTAATAAAAAGACCGGTTCATTAAAAGACCGGAAAGGCTAAAAAACATTAAAAGACCGGGTAATAAAAAGACCGGTTTATTAAAAGACCGGTTTATTAAAAGATCTTCGCTACACGATGGCCGTGCTTCGCTGCGGTCGTGCTCGCTGCGCTCGCGGCGACCGTAGCGAAGCGGCGGCCGTCGTTCCGCTCGACATGCCCGGCTTCCTCCGCAGCGGCAAAAACTTTTTTCCGCGTAAATTTATGTGTTTATGCGTTTTTGCCTTAAACGCCGAAAATAGGCTGCGCCGAAAAAATGGCGCCTATTCGTCCGCGCCTATTCGGCCGCGCCTATTCGTCCTGCTCCGCTCGATACATAAAATTTAATGAAAAACGGTAATTCAACAACAACAAATTCATTTTTATTTATGCAAACAGATAAAATTTAGTTAAAAACAAGCGAAATTTAAATGTTAATTGTATAGTCAAAATTAAATTTGAAAATAAACCGTCAATTTTTCTTCATTTTTGAGAAATGTCGAAGATTTTTAGGTTAATTCGACTACATCTAATTAAAAACAAAAAAAAATTTGAAAAAAACTATGTTTTCGTCACCATATTCGTTCATAAATCCAATTTTTTCTTTTATGCCAACACTTGCTTCTTTTATAATTCCATCGCTTCTTCAAAGAAACAAAAAGGCCAGGAATTTGTTGTTGAAGTTGATGACGAGGCTTGTGTAGTACTAAAAAGAAAATTAAGAAAACTAATGGAAAAATAGGAAAGAATGCCTAAAAGTCGGAAAGGATAAGTCGAAAAGGGGAAGCTTAACAAAATACCGATAGACCAAAAGTGAAAAAAATGTCTAAAAAGGAATAATGGACAGTAACGAAAAACTGGAGAATGTTGTGACACAGGGTTTATGGTGGCACACACGATTTTGATGAGGTGTTATTCGAAAGAGCTTGGCGAGCTGATTCGATAGCTCGGGGGAAGAGGCCGAACGGACGTTTAGGGGACCGAGTTCAGTTTCCAAATTTCAAGGGGGGGGGCTATAGCCCTAGAAGCTCCCTGGCTACCAAGGGCGTATCCAGGGGGGGCTGGGGGGGCTAGAGCCCCCCCCCCCCCCCCCCGAAATGGGGAAAGGGGGAAAAAATTAGGAGAAGGATGATCGAAAAAGTGAAATTTTTTCGCCTACAACCCTCAAATTTAAAAAAATTTTCGCCTGCGGCGCAAAAAATGGAAGAAATCTGGCTTCTTGAGCTCCAAAATCCTCAAAATTTTCGCCTGCGGCGCTAAAAAGTGAACTTTTTTGGCCTACGGCCCTCCAAATTCAAAAAATTTTCGCCTGCGGCGCTAAAAAGTGAACTTTTTTGGCATACGGCCCTCCAAATTCAAAAAATTTTCGCCTGCGGCGCTGAATAAGTGAATTTTTTGCCTACGGCCTTCTAAAATTCAAAAAATTTTCGCCTGCGACGCAGAAAAGATGAAAATTTATGTACAAAAAAAAATTTGCGTCCGGAACGCCAAGGCAAACGCCAAAAATTTTTGCGCCCACCCAGTGTTAGCCTCCCCCCGAAACCGGCCCCCTGGATACGCCCTTGCTGGCTACGCCCTTGACTTATTGGATGGCCCTAACCATTTATCCCATATCGACTCATGTCAGCTCGACGAGCTTTTTCTAATGACTTGTAATTTGTCGAAATCGGATAGACAAACAAAAACCTCCCTACAAGTCACAATCCCAAGGGAAGCAACCGGACGGAGATTTAAACACCCATAACAGAGATTCTTTAAATTAGTAAGCTCCAAAAGGGACAGAACTTGAAAAATATAAACAATTATGGAAACCTAATAATCAACCCAATAAATTAATTTGCAAACCTAATTTTCTGAATTCTAAAAGATTGCGGCTCTTCAGTCATCTTTTCTGTTGATTCTTGTTCTTCTAAAGCATACTCATCAATAGATTGCCTTCCCGCAACAATTCACCGGTCTAAAAAATAATCTTGAAACCATAGAAATAATTAAAAAATAACCTCTTTAAAAATTTTTACAGCTTCTGGATACTTTGTCAAAGCTGAAAATTAAGTAATTAAAAATCCTTTAGACATAAAAACAACCTATAAAAAGATCAACCATTCAAAACAAGCAAATCAATGCATCTAACCAATGGAACATTTGCTGTACGCCTTCTCGTTTGACAAAAACTTGGCACCATTCAATTGGCTTTAACATTGAGAAAGGATAAACTTATTTAGAGGAGAAAACTTGCGGACAAAACTTGCGAATTTAATAAAGTAAAAACGCTAACCATGTAGACGAGAGCATTGGAGTTTAATCGTTGAAGTGAAGATCGCCCAGCTATCTCCTAAGAGAAACTGGTGCTTTTTTGCCCGGCTATCTCCTAAGAGAAACTGGTGCTTTTTTGCCCGGCTATCTCCTAAGAGAAACTGGTGCTTTTTTGCCCGGCTATCTCCTAAGAGAAACTGGTGCTTTTTTGCCCGGCTATCTCCTAAGAGAAACTGGTGCTTTTTTGCCCTGCTATCTCCGGAGAAACTGGTGCTTTTTTGCCCTGCTATCTCCTAAGAGAAACTGGTGCTTTTTTGCCCTGCTATCTCCGGAGAAACTGGTGCTTTTTTGCCCTGCTATCTCCGGAGAAACTGGTGCTTTTTTGCCCTGCTATCTCCTAAGAGAAACTGGTGCTTTTTTGCCCTGCTATCTCCGGAGAAACTGGTGCTTTTTTGCCCTGCTATCTCCTAAGAGAAACTGGTGCTTTTTGTTGTTGCTGCTGCTGTTGTTGTAGCTGCTGTTGTTGCTGATGCTGTTGTTACTGCTGCTGCTGCTAAAAATTGGATACATTTTTCAAAAATTGAAAAAAGCAAGTCTTGTCCGCAAGTCATTACTCCTCCCCACCCCTCAAAAAGGTTAACCCCAAAAAAGGAAAAGCCACGCTCCAAGTTGTAGAACATCTTTGCTATAAATGGCAACAGAGAACACTAGACGAGCCATTAAAAATCGATTATTGATTTTTGGGATGAAGTGTCATTTATTCTTTATTGTTTGCATTATGCCAAATATCGCAGATTTTTGAATTCTGAAACAAATATTTAAAAATATAGCGGTCTCAAAACCACTTTATGGATTTCTAGTTTCTAATCGGAAATTTAAATTTAAAATAAAAAAATAAAAGATAGAGCAAGAATGTCAACAAATTGAGTCTCTATACACCGACATTGTTTTAGCCGTTTTAGAGTCAAAGACACCATTGTAAAAATACTGTCCAAAACGGTTAAGTAACAACACAGAAAAAACATGTAATGGTCAGAGAAATGCATTTTCACTACTCTACCGTGGGAAGAATTAATTCTTTTTCTCTAACCAGTACATGCCTTTGCATGTCTAAACAATGGCCGCTGAAAAAATCAATAAATGTAAAAAGAGTGCGGGAAATAAAGAGACATTAAACAGTTAAAGTTTGAGGTCAGTTCAGTGCGAAATATTCAGCTTAGTGCGACAGATCGACTGTATTGAAGATACGTACTAAGATTGGTTCCCTAACGTTTCGTCACTGAACTTTTCGTCACCGAACCTTTCGTCAAAACCTTTCGTCACTGAACCTTCCGTCACCAAACCTTTCGTCACTGAACCTTTCGTCACCAAGACTTTATTTTTAAAAATCAAATAAGAAGTTGTCAAAATTGACAAATTGATCATAATCGGTAATTTAGTTATATTTACTGTGTTGCTAAATGATAGGTGACAGTACGTAGGTACTCATTAGCTCGCTGAGCAAATTCAGCAAATATTTGTTGCAAAGTTCCTATATTGTGTATAAATACAACTACTCAATGTTATATTACCAAAACTTCATCTGCAGGAGGACCCATTAGCACGTCCATTAAAATACACATAAATGTGTAAACCTCATTAATAGGCACAAATGCCAGAGCCTAGGAAAGAAACTCTAATGAATTCGAGGAAATACGGTAGATACCTGAAGTGATCGGAGCAAGTTTTTATCATTGTTATTATTTCTATAACGAGCAGATAAACCAGGCAGTGCTTGTATATGATTGTATAACGCATTTCCAAGATGAAAAACACATCCTCAAAAATTTTCTAGAGCTAGTTTTTCCTAAGATTTACCGGTAATAGTCGCATGAGAGAAGACTTGGCGCACATTGATCATAATCGGTAATTTAGATTGTTCAAAATCACACATGACACGTTCTGGAGCCCAGTCTTGAATACGATTTTGAATTGCTCGGAAAACGTTAATATATCCTTGAACGTGTTTCGTGGGTAGACAAGCAAAGATGCAAGGTACTGCACAAGAGTCTACGATGACGTGAATAGTGAACAACTGTCCAATGCCTCTTGGCTTTGGACAACTTGATCTTTTATTCAACTTAATTTCCATAAATCTATTTTGTTAAATTTGTCCATCCAGATGTGCTTTCTCTTTTCTATGGTGAATACTGACGAAAGGTTCAGTGACGAAAGGTTTGGTGACGGAAGGTTCAGTGACGAAAGGTTTTGACGAAAGGTTCGGTGACGAAAAGTTCAGTGACGAAACGTTCGGCCACCACTAAGATTCTGTCTCTTAAATACGTGTATACATATTCTTTTTATTTTACAGATCTTTAAGTGATCTGATGAGAGAAGATAAAAGTGACCGCAATTCCAAAAGGAGTCGAGATCCTCAACTTTCTGAACGAGACAGAAAAACGGCTGTTCGACGCTCGTCTTCCAGAACTCGTGAATTACGTAGTAAGAAAACGTCGCGTCATGAGGATGAACGGTTTGATTTTATTTTTATGTTTATTTATGTTTAAACAATTTTTAGCAAACGGGCAATAAGTGGCAGAGGTGAAAAAGAAACTGGCCGCGATAGCACACGCAACAGACAAGATGGTAGACGGAAACGAAGCCCGAGTCCCAATATGGCATCTACTCGTGGTGGAAGAACGCGTGTTGATAACAATGGACGTTCTAAGGTTGTATGATTTTACTTTTGAGTTCACTTTGAAAATTAAAAATTCTAGCGTGACGCTCCTGAGGCAAAGAAGGAGCGAAAAGAAGCCGAAAAACGAGATCTGGTTCGTGGTACGGATTTGTCACAATTTTCTTTTGGTGGTAATGAAGTTCAACAATATGATAGTGCAATAGCAAATGGAGGGTTTGGTAGTATTGACTTTCAATCGGGCTTTGCAAATTCGGGGTTTTCAAATACAAATTTCGCGGATTCAGGATTTCGTAAAAATGCTGGAAGGGATGAATTTAACCGTGGTGGCAATCAATGTAAACGTTTTTTCACAGCATTCTTATGTTGTTATTTTTTTAGATAAGCCCAGGATACTTGCTCCAAATAATGGTGGAAGAGAAGGCAATAAAGAAATTCCTGCAGATGCTCCCAAGTTTACTGTCAACGAACTTTCCGCAGAATCCATTAAACGAGGTTTTTATTTTTGAAGCTTTTAAGAATATTTTTGCCTATTTAAAATGGGAAGTTTCCCTAGGAGTTATTCACAGTTGGGTAACCGAACCGAAAACCAGTATTTTCATGAATTACTTGGAACCGTAAACAGGGGGTCTATGGCGCTGAACAACCTCATTTCCTACACTAATAATTTCATTGATATTTTTAACAAGTTTATTTTTCAGAACATACGCAGAAAGGCACAAATCAAAGAGTATGGACCTTATCTTTTTAAATCTTAATTCTCTTCCAATGATTTCTATCTACAGCGATTTTTACCTAATCATGGCACTTTTGGAATGAAACGTCAATATGCTGGTATAAGAAGCGCCGCTACATTTACTGGGTCAGTTCATACACTCCCCTCATCTGAACAAACGAGCTGCTGAATTTTTTTACTATTTTTACGGCGTATTTTTTGCTACTTAATTCATTTGTAGTGCACCGAGAATGCAACAACAAAAACATGGTCGGATGTTTGGTAATTTTATTTTTTAGTTTAAAATTGTATTAATATTAGATGGTTCAAATCCTACTGCTAGAACCATTCAACCTATTGAAAAGGTGGAAAGAAGCAAATCTGAAACTGAACAGGCTCTTGTGCCTCGTGGAAGGAATTACTTCATTGTTTGTTTAAATGAAGATTATTGAAGTATTTCATTTAATATTTTAGCATGATCATCGTGATACAGCGTTTGTCAATCAACGCAATCAAAACAATATTCGCTTTGGACAACAAGGTTTGACTTATTAATGGGACCGTCCAAAACATGCAAGGTTGGGAGTTGGAGTCCCTTTTCATGGTACGTCCTCAAAATGCTGAGGAAAGGACAAGAAAAAGGAAAGGATCTCCAGCTCTAAACTTGCATGTTTTGGACAGCCTTGTTAAAATATTATTTTAATTTTTTAGGAAGAGGAAGACCAGCTCCAACTGGATGGCGTAATTTTGGTGATAGAGAAGGAAATGTTGACGAGGTTAGGATTTTTAAATATTTCATAAATACATTTATTATAAATTTAGGCTAGTTTTGCAATTCAAAGTTATGGGAGAGGTGGTGGGGGTGTCGGAGCGCCAACTCGTGGAGGCTTTGCCAAAGGAGGTTTTGGCAATTGGCGTTCCAAGGCTGATGAAGATTTAATATGGAAACATGACAAATATGTAGAGGTATCGCAAGACGAAGCCAACACAAAATTGGAATTGGTGGATGAAGTTGGTATTGAACCACAAGAAGAAATCTTTAATAAGAAACGACCGCAAGAAGGTGAGAGTCGACATCGCTACCAAGACGAAAGTTTTGATTATGAAGTTGAAGAGCTTGCAGTTTATGATTAATTTGTGTACGTTGTTTAAGTGAGATATTTTAACATTATTTACATTGAAACTAAATTCCATTATATTTAAATTAACTTGATATTTTGGTAAATTTTCACACATTTCTAGCACTTCTTTTTCAATAAGCTTTTAATTTAACTAATTAAGAAAGCTTTAAATTTGGCAAATTTATTTAGGAAAATTTACGGGGACATTTATAGAAATAAGGGGAGCATAGAGAAGAAAAGTTTTATTGGAAGAAAAATTTTTTTAACATTCCTTTATTGATCTAAAAATTTTATGGTCCCTAAGGAGCTGAAGTTCCTATTTGATCCGAAATTGTTGCTGCTGCAAGTGTTGGAGGGGGTAAAACAAAAGCAACTTGTAAAGGTGTTCCTTGTTTCTGTAAAAGATTTTGCATCTCATCAGAAAAGTGTTTTTGACAATTTATGTTGCTTTGTTTTGTCAATGGTAGTGGTGGATGGATAAATGGATTGTGTTGTTGTACTACAGCAGCTTGTTGATTTTGTATCAATGCATTTGTTGGAACTCCAAAGGGAATTGTTGTTGTCCTCGATCCAGCAGCAGTAAATTGCGCTATCGTTGGAGCCTTTAAAGGGGATATCGGCAATAATGCTGCAGCAGATGGAGAAATAATTTGAATTGCGGGATGGATTCCAGATGGTTGTGTAAATAATAATTGTTGTTCGGCATTAATTGGAAGGGTCCAACTAAATTAAATTTCAAGAATTTTACACATTAACAAAAAATTTTACCTAAATTTATTTTCATATTGAAATCTCCTCTCAGCATTACTTTCACGTGCATTTTGCCAACACATTCTTCGTTGTTCTGGCGGTAATGTGGACGATCTTTTAAATTGTCTTCCTCCTCCAACAAAATTATAATCATTCCCCAAGTCAGTTTGTAAAGCTGTATCAACCCTTTGTTGAGGCTTTTTCTGTTTTAAATGATAAATTTGTTGATCTTTCACTCGTTTTTGTTGTTGCTGTTGGTGAGTTTGATCTCGAAGACGACGACATTTTCTACAGACCTAAAAACTTAATTTTCAATAAATTATTCAAAAATAATCATTAACCTGATGTTGTTCTTGTTGGGGAGTTGGTTGGGAATCTTCATCATCGGCAGTCCCAGTTCCACTTCGTATTGTTGGTCTACTACGAGAAAGACGTCCACTTGGGTCCAATTCATTTTCAGAACAACTTGTAGTTGTTGTAGCAGCTCCACCAAGTTCGTCATAATCGCTACTGACAGCATTAGTATTTTCTACAGCAGTTGTAGTAATAGCAAAATTTTGCATAGATTGTGCCATTGCGGACATTGTTTCATCACTTGTAGTGGTTACAGACATCTTAAATACATATTTTTGATAAAAATAAAGAAAATCAAAAATGGGTACCACGAGGCCGACTATAACTACCGCCGACTATAACTCTCTACCGCCGACTATAACTCTTTCAAACTAGTCGAATCCGGGACGCTTTCATAAGGTTCGTTCAGCTCGCGAGTCGCATCGAACCATACGGCGTCTCGAATTCGATAATTTTGAAAGTAGATATAGTTCACCTTAGCTCAAATACTGAAAATCAAAACCAAAACCTTTTCATCAAAATCACTTCGTCTTCTATCATTTTCTTTTTCAAATTGTTCCAATTGTTGTGCAGTCTGTTTTTCAAAATCATCATTATCCTCCTGTCCAAAATTAACTTGTGTCGTTTTTTCTGCCGTCTTTAGTGTTAGACAACACAAAGCTTTTGTTGATGTCTTATTGCTAGATTTAGTAGAAACATCACCAGTAGAACATTCAACAGTTTTGCAAACTGGAAGAGAAGGAGCAGGAAACACAGACAATTCCGGGATTAGAACTGATTGTAACATGTCGAGCAATTTATCATAATTAGGCTAAAAGTTAGTTTAATGTTAAGAATCTTATCATTAAAAATAACCTCATCTCCAAAATGAATTTCACGGCAATAACGAATAAATTTCGCCAAACAAGGACAGAACTCTTCCCAACTTGTTTGTTCTTTTAATTGTCTAATTCTTTGGCTAGCCTGATGTCTTGTAGTTGCATTTCTTTTTGAAATATTCTAAAAAATAAAAATTTAAATAAAAACAAAATTTATTTAAAATTCAAACCTTCCAAGGTAAATGCCCATTAACAAGTTCTATGAGAACATAGGCCAAACTTTCAAGGTCATCCCTTCGACTCAATTCAATATTTTTGTGACTGTTTAAACTTGCATATTTTGCTGTGCCAATAAAACTACGACCACGTCGAAAAGGAATATGAGTCAATGTTCTGTTTTCACCTTCACGAAATCTAAAATAAGGGAGGTAATTAAATTAAATGAAGGTAAGGTGAGAACAAAGGACAAGGGGTAGGCCAGAGGAGAAAAGTAAGGTTCAGGCTCTTGACGAATCCAAAAAATTAATTAAAGGTTAGTAGTAGAGATTGGAAATTTTGAAAACCTTAATTTGATTGAGGACCATGACCAGATTCTTGACCTTAAGGAAAATTCAAGGACAAGGAAGAATCAAGGAAACAATGAAAAATGCTTTGATTATGACTCTGGATCCAGGAAAATAAAGGTCTGGGTCCAGATCCGGGTTAGTATAGTAGAAGGTTAAAATCTCCAGCTAGTAGGGGCTTTTTAAACAAAATAAGTAAACATACCGATATCTTCTCGCCAAACCAAAGTCAATTAGATAAAGAGTGCTTTCTTTGCCAGGAGGCAATCCCATCAAAAAATTCTCTAAAAAATAGAGGAATTAATGCATAATTATTTTTAACAAACCTGGTTTAATATCTCTATGGATAAATCCCCGTTGGTGTAAATGTCTTATTCTGTGAATCATCTGCTCACCAAGTGATACAATTGTCTAAAAAATTTGAAATGAAACGAGGAAAGGATAAAACCTGTCTAGCAAATCTTCGATTGCAAAAAGCAAATAAGGAGGCTACAGGTGCTCCCAATAGTTCCATTACCATTATCTTGAATTAAAAATATTTTTAAAATGGTTTAAAAAATTAGAATACGTTATGTCCAAATTCGTGGTCATAGCAATAAACTTGAGGAAAACCTTCCACTTTTCCATTTCCATCTTCATAGAGAACGGATTTGTAAACCTGAAAAAGATTTTGATTTAAAAGCCAAAATTAAATGATTTACCAAATACTCATAGCGCAAATGATTATCACGACAAGCTGTTTAAAAAATAAACAAAAAATAAATAAAATCTAAAGAAACCTCCATCAAATTTAACAGCAACTCTTTGTTTTTTAACTCCAGGACCGTGCAAATCCTCTGCTGCAAAAATTTCACCATATGAACCAGAAGCAATACTTTGCATAATTCGGAAACGATTGTTGACGAGTAAACCAATTTTGTTTTTTATCATTGCTGCCTGCTCCCAACCTTAATAAAAATTCTTGAAAAATAAAATAGATAAGCATGGGTAACCCAGAAGGTCGAATTAGACTCAAGATCAAGAATACGTTGGCCTGCTCACTTATGTAGTTCCCTTAAGCCCCCTTGATACCAACAAATTCATCTTAATCCGCTCAAAACAATCATTATCCCTTTAATACCTATAAATCCGTCTTAATCCACAAAAATCCTTTTTTATCCTCCAGATATTTGGATTTGACCTTCCGGATAATTTAACCTTGCAAGTCTTTGGGTCCTCCCTACCTTCTAGTCTAATCGCATAAAAATAACCTGTAACAGCAGTAGTCCAATCTCCAGCACCATCCAACGATGGAGGTCGACATTTCTTATTAGGTGTAGTAACAATATGTTGTTGATGGTGATGAACAGCCATAACAGGATGGGCTAATTTGTGTAAAACTGCAGCGGCCGTTGATGGGGGCAAAAACGTTTGGGGAAGAAAATTTGAATGTGCTGTTGAAGCCGAGGGTGGTTGAATAAAAATATTTGGTGGAGGAGGAGGCAGAGGGGGCAATTGACTAAAAGTCTGTGGTAGGGGAAGACAATCATTAATTCCCTTAAAAGAAAAAAATGATAAAAATTGAAAGATAAAAATCAACCAAAAATGTAGGCGGATTTGGTCCGTGTGGGTGGTTGTGTTGACCAGAATGAATCAAATTTGCGGGAACAAAAGCAGCCGCAAAAGTAGAAGAGCCTGGTTGACACGAATTTGAATCCAGAAATTTTGTTCCACTGTCAATTACAGGCCTAAACGATATCAAATGTAGCTGGCCTGAAGAGGGAATATTTTGTTGTTGATTAGCCATTGCTGTCGTTGGGTGACAATTCGGCATTAGTTGAACAACAGCCGAGCATTTTAAATTGTGTTGAGGGGAAAGAGTTGTTGTCTGAAAATGTGAAGCTGTTGCTGAAGATTGTGGTAATTGAAAAGAGTGAAAATTTGTAGAAGTTGTTAAATTATTTGGTTGATGCATTTTTGTTAGAATTTTAATTTCTTTGCAACTTAAAACAAAAAATTATAATAAAAACATTAAATCAAAAGGTAAAGTAATGTTCAATAAATAAACAAAATGTTTAGCAAAATAAATAAAAAAGAAGGGAAGAGAAAGGTACAGCCGGTAACGAGATGCGTTTGCACAAGGTTAGTACCAGCTCAAAACAAAAAAAAGTGTTGAGGCGTTCTCGCAATAACAATTGCACCATTATTTACAAACGAGTACACACTGACTTTGTATATTTCTCTAATTTACTTTCTCTCGTCTATTTTTCACTCGTGATTATTGAAAAAATGACGGGTAGTGGACGTTTCAAGGTTGGACATTTATGATGGTCGTTTCAGAGCGCAAATTCAGAGTATCCTACTGTCGAATGAGAGAAAAGTATTTATACATGATTCACGTACGGGATTCTGTCGCGAAATCTTGTGCTTGTCGACTAGCGTGATTATCGTGATTTACGGGATTAATCCCGAGGGATCGTGTCCTTTCGACTTTTGAAAAATTCACGTTACGGGATCCAGTGTATGCGATCTTGACTATCTTTAAGTATAATCATATTAAAACTTAAATTTATGACAACATTTTATCATTAAAAAATATAGAAACAACAGACAATACAAAATCTAGAATGTTCTAGTAAAATTATTAACATTCAGCTGAAACAATTCGCTGCCTTGGTATCCCATTGTTCTGGGATGTTGAAGATCTGTTTATTTCAGGCCGTCTATTCTGACTAAACGCAGTTCCATTCTCAGCTTTATCCAACTGCCTTTCATTCCCTCCAACTCCATTTCGTGCAAACTGGCATTGATGCTGAAGGCGACGTTTTGCTGTACGTATAAGCCGATAGGAACCATATTTTATATTTTCACGTCGGCGAACCATTGCTTGGTCTGATGCTAACCAACGATGTGTAAGTGCTTCGTCTGTACGCATTCTTCTCCTGTTTAAATTTGAAAAATTGTATCAAAAAATATTTTTATACGATGGCTGTTTCTTTAAAGCCCAGAAAACGAATTTGAGTGCTTCTTCGCTTGCCTGTACTGGAATCTAGAAAAAAGAAATTTAGAATGCTCTAAAAATTTTTACAAGGTTCGGATCACAACGTTGTTCAAGCACATTACGCCGTACTTCTTGAGGCGTATCCGTTTCATCAGCAAATGGATGAAAGCCAGCAAGTCTGAAAACGACGGGCTTAGGTTTTCTAATCACTCAAGGTCCAAACTCACAGGCAAAAAGTAATTAGGCCAAGACCCCACATATCACTTTGCTGATTAGCCAGTATGCTTTGATCTTCATTATTTTTGGCAGAATTATTTTCCAATCCATTAGACGTCTTTTTAGTTGTTAATAATAAAACTTCAGGAGCAGTCCATTCTTCAAGTAACTGTCCATCACCGGCTAATCCATTACGCGAACCTATAAGCCGAGCTCTCCCAAAATCAATTAATTTAACATGCCAAGCTCGTTTTGTTGTGAACATAACGTTTGTAGGTTCAACATCACCGTGAACAAATCTGTTAGTGTTTTGAGGGGGTTGAGGGTATCTCAGAGGTAAACTCACCCACAGAAGTGGATCCATCGAAGAGCACCAACAATTTGACGAATAACAAAAGCTATTTGTTCCTATGAGTAATATTAATACAGGCTACTATTCGAAGGATAACAACCTCAGAATATGTCTCCAGCCTCACAAATCTATGAAAAATATCCTCATAAAGACGCTCCATAAAAAGAAGTTGGAAAGCATTGTCAGAACAATAAGCAGCTAGAAGTTGAACGATATTTTCATGTTGACACTCTGATAGCGTTTCGTATTCAATTAATGCAGCCTTCATACGCTCTGCTGGCGTTGCAAACATTAATGAACCATGAGTAGGTGAGGCACGTATTTTAACTGAACAAAATGTCTTTTAACAATTTTTCCATAAGAATACCTATACAATGGGAACTTGTTTTGGAGTCAATGGCATAACGTATAACGCTAAACTGGCCACGGAAAAGTTCTGTTTCCAGCTGTCAATTAATATAGGTTTTAAACAGTAATGGGAATATAGGATATTTACGCCACCTGAAATCTTTTAAGCGGATCTTCACTAGTATTTAACTGAACTTTTTTCGAAAACCCATTTCCGTTCCCATTAACAGATCCATTCCTTAAAGAATCCTTCCTAGTATTTTCATCATTTTGTATTTCAACTCCTTCTTCGTCTTCTTCCTCCTCCCTTTCAGCCAATTCCTCTTGAATTTCGCTAAGTCCTGGGCCTTTACTCTTCTGCGGCATAATAACTACAGTAAAACGACGCCCTTCTTTGCGTAATACATCCAAATTAAATTTTGGAACGCCTAAAAATGAAATAAAATATTTTTGAGGATCTGTTCGACCTCGAGGATGTGTTCGAATAATTCTTGAATGTATTGAAGGCTCTCCCCATCCAAATTCATTTTTAGCAGTTACACGAAATTGGTAAATGCCTTGAGGCTAAAAGATCAAATAGTAAATTGAATCCCTCTATAACTTTACCAATAAATGCTTAATCACCACAGCTTCTTCCTCAACACAATTACTTAAACATGTCCAAGTAGCAAAAGCATCACGTTCACCTGCGGGTCTACATTCAATCCGATAAGTAGTTCCGTTTAGCTAATATGGTTTCTATTCAATAAAATTTCAAAAAATCCTACCGTAACCGGTAACCTTTCAGGTGCTTCCCAACTGACATAAACTTCCGTATCCGCAGATAATTCAACTTCGGGACGGGAAGGACGATTTGGCGGTTCTTTAGAATTAATTATTAAATTCAAATAATATCCTTTTCTACCTCCTCCAATACATTTACAAATACATTTATCTCGCCCCAATTCGTTTGTAGCGACACATGAGTATTCTCCTGTATCCACACCGGGTAGAGGTTTTGAAATGGTTAATCTGACAAATTTAATGAAAATTATTTCATGTAAGGTTAATTTAATCACCTCCATATGTTATTCCCTAAACGAGTAATTTGATGCCGACCATCCTCACATAGAGCACTTTCGTGATGAAAAAAGGTAACCTCAGGCGGAGGGTTACCTAAATAATTTTCGATTTTCTACTGAGAAATATAATAATAATCTTCTAATATGTATTAACCGATAGGTTGACATTCCATATAAACCGAAGGAGAATTCTCAGAAAAATAACCATCACGTAGACGTGAACGGAAAATGGGTGCAAATTCTTTAAAAAGTATGATTTTAATTTTTGAATGTTTCCATACTTTTTTCGCCTCCATTTTGTAACGCTTCAGGAGAAGTCGTTCCTTGGGCTTCAATTTCATCCCCATTAGTTACTCGGCGTTGTGCACCTTCATGGGTTTGGAGTAAGCCTTCAAGGACGTTATCTACTGATTTCGCAACGAGAGGTTCCTCTGAAAAATGAAAGAGATGAGGGAGATTCAGATTTTAGGAAGGATCCATTGGGATTAATACAAAAAATCCTGCAGATTGAAAACCTAGCAAATTGAAAAATATGACAGCTTAGTTTGATCCCAAAATTACTCTCTCAACTACCTCTTATTAAATCAGTATATCTACGCCTTTCTCTAACCGTCACATCTGTATTTCTCGCTCCAAGCTCTCCAGAAAAAACATAGGCAGCTGAATCTCCCCAAATTCCACGTCTATAATCTCTAACTCGAGCATTAAAACGAGCTCCAAAAGTTGGCACCAATAAAGTTTCTGGCCCAATTTGGTAATTTGATTCCCAGGCAAAATCTTCATCTCCACTAATATTTTTAAGAGTTTGTAAACTTTTTACTTCACGTTCATATTCAGCATAAGCTGAATATGGTCTATAACTTTTTAGGTCTTTTTCTTCTTGTTTAACTAGTGCTGGGGTTTGCTCCTTTAATAAATTATAAAAAAATTTTAAATATAAAAATTTGATCTCGTACAGAGTTTCGTTTGTCTTGATCACGCTTAACTCGATCAACGGCATCCATTAGTAAATCAAATTCTGTATCAGGCAAGTGACGGAAAGGGGAAGGTTTTTGGACAGTTGAATTAGGTGAGAGGGCCTCTTTCTTCGGCACAATCTGAACACTCATTGTATGTTCCCCGCGAGGTGAAAGTTGTACGGGTGATTTTATACCAAAATCTGGGATTTGAAGGGGAAGATGTTTGCTAGTAAAATGCTGTTCTGCTTCATCAAGTATTTCAGGTGGGGAAGAAATATCATCTGGAAGTTTCTGAAATTTTGGGAAAAAATTTTTTAAATGGGCAAAAATCTATTTTTATTTAATGACCTCTGATGGGAAAAAATGTTGTAATTGTTGATTAAGTGGAGGAGGAGATTCGGCCATAAATGCGGGAGAGGCTAAGGGAGTTACCGTACTGGAGGAAGGACCTTCATGTTCAGCTGTTGTTGTTGTACTCCCTTCCCCGTCAGCATCCATAGCGTCTATTGGGGTTGTTGTTCTTCGAGGAACCTAATTAATTTTGTTATTTTTAGTGTGTGTTTAACCAAAGATTAATTAAACATAAAGGATTAACCCAATCTTTGTCAACACCTGTTTTTGCGGGCGAGGAGTAGTTGTACCAGAGGAACGTTCACTGTTTTGGGTGGCTGAGCTATTCGAATCACCTCCACCGCTTTCCTCGGAAATATCGGAAAGAACACGATTAGCAAGCTGTAAAATTAAACAAAAAATTTATCGAAAGTGGGCTGTTATTAAGCACCTCCTCTTGAATCTGTCGACGCTCTCCTCTAATTAATTTCATAAGAGCTGATTGAGGGTTCTTTGAAAAATTATCAGTCTAGATTTATTTATGTACAAAAATTACTTTTAAATCCTCTAATTTTAATTCAGTAATTCCAAATTGCTTAGCCAAATCAGCAAGGAATTCGGTCTCTTCAGGAGTCAGTTTTTGTTGCTGTTGTGGTTGTTTTTGTTTCTTTGCCGCAGCTGCAGCCATCTGTGAATTAATTTTTATAAAATTTTTTTAGAGAAAATTCCCTCACCTCCTCAATTTTCTTTGAAATTCCTGCAGGTAAAGGTGCGAATTGTGGTGGTCCAGTTTGCTGTTGATATCCCCCACCAGGGGCTGATCGTTCCGATGAGCCACTTCTACTACGTGGAGGTAAGGGTGGCGGAGCTCCCTGACCTTTTGGTTGAAACTCTGGTGGCAAATAAAATCCTCCTCCATAGGGGTCCCATCGCAAATGTTCTTTTTTAACGCCTGGGGGTAATTGAGAGACAATCCAGTCTGGAATAGGTGGAGGTTCTGTTGGAAATCGAGGCGTTCCAGGAGATTGACTTCGTTTATTTGAAGGAGGTATGGGGAAAGGAGGTTGTTGTTGTTGTCCTCCTCTGTCTCCAAAGTGTTGACCACCAAAATTATTTTGACCTCTAGGTGTAGGAGATTCACGCATTGGCAACGGAGAAAGACCCTTCTGTCTTTGAGATTGAATTTGTTGGGCAAAATAGGGCTGTTTTGCTGCTTGTTCTTCAGCTCGAATATGCAAATAATCATATACGGCTAAAGGTTCCCTTCTAGAAATTTCTGAAGGCGTAGCAGGCTCCGCTGTAGGCCTTTTACTGCTCGCAGTACACAAAGCTCGAGGTGCTTCTACCATTTGTGTCAATTGCTCCGAAGGAGTTTGTTGTACAAATACTCGACGTTCGAGCCATTGATGTCGATATTTAAATTCACGTAAGCAATCAGTTGAAAGCTTAGCATCGTCTAAGGAAGGATCGGATAACCACTCTTGAGTCAATGCTTGTTGAACATCAATACGTCCACTTAAATGTTATTATTTTTAATTTTCTATTAAGAAACGAAACTGTGGATCTCTAACTAAAAGCTTCTTAACAAATTCACGAGCATTTGAAGAAATTTGTTGGTTTGTATCATCAAACTGAAACTCCCCTTTTAATACATTTTGCAAAGTTTCTTCATCATTATCACCAAGAAAAGGTGATTGACCAAAAAGGAGAACGTCTTTAAATCATCAAAATTGTCAAGTAATTTTAAAAATTGTTAAATTACAAGTAAGAGCTCCAACACTCCACATATCAGCTGCTAAAGTGACTGGTTCTGTTCCAGCTACTACTTCGGGAGAAACAAATTCTGGGTTAGATTTAATCGAACCACCCATCAGTTTTCCATTGATTAGCCGTCTATATAATCGCAATTAATTATTATTTTGACTAATAAATCACCTGCTTTGACCAAAATCGGCAAGTCGAAGATGGTCATCTTGCAGTAAAATAACTTCGGGTCTCAAATCCAAATGAACAATCCCTCGACTATGCATATAAGCTAGAGCTGTTAGTAGTTGTTTTACAAAAATCTGGGAAAGAATTTCCTGAATCAGAAAGAGAGATCCCTTTTCTACCTGTACTTGTTCTTCTCTAGCTCCAGAAGGACGGGGTGCTGATTCCCCAACTTGACATGTAGAAGGAGATCTTGAATGTGAACGTCTAGATGGCGGAGGTAGTAAAGAGTCAAGAAAGGAGCGATCTGCGCTAAAAAGGGAGATAAAACCTGATTTTAATATTAAAAGGTATACACAATTTTAGAGGGCTTAATGAACGTTTTCCTGGTAATATTGAAGAAAAAGAGGTAATTGAATCGGTTGAGGATGCCATTAATTAAGTAATAATTTAAGAAATTTAATTTTTAAGAGAGGATTTAAGAGCAATAATATGGCTATTTTCCAATATTTTTTATAAGCTTGCGTGTTTTGGATCAAGAGCTATTGGGTTGGTATATCGGAAAATGCTTATTTGTTTGCTCATCTATTTGAGTTACTCCCTCATTTATTTGTCGATTTTACCAATAATTTTACCAATAAATCCACTCATATAAAGCTCTCTTAATTCTTAGAAATTTTCAACTTCAATTAATTCAAAAAATTTTATTTTTGAATTTAATTATTGCAAAATCCACAAACTTTCCATAAACAATCACAGCTTCACTATCCTCCACCAAAACTTGGTGTAATTGAGCAAGATCAGGCGATTCACGTAGAACATTATGCATTTGAATATCCCTTTCCAATTCTTCATCCAAAGGCTTCCTTTGTGCCAAAAAGCGTCTGCCAGTAGAGCGTTCAACAACATTGAAGCAAGGAGAAATACTCCTTGGGGTTGATGAAGCAGACGACATTTTTTAACTTAATACAAGGATAAAGTTTTAAAAATATGGGTATATTTGTATAAGGACTGTCAGTCCTTAATAGAATCGACTAAAATTTTCTAAAATATTTCAAGGATTACTTAACTCTTAATAATGATTTTTATTTTAATTTGCAAGAGTATGCACAAACATTTATCCACAAAGCAACTGTTATTTAAAGTTTATTTACAGCTAAAGCTTGAGAATACTGCAGCGTTTTAGTGCTATTTTTATTTACTAATAAAAAAGTTGGAAGAAATTTTAACGCCTTGAAATGTTGGGGAAACACGATCGATTTAAAGCACCAGATGTGTGAGGATAAAAGTGAATAAACTTTTAAAATCGTTGAGTAACGTTGTATCCGTGTGTGTTTGATAGGTGGGGGGGGGGGGGCGGATAGCTGGAAATTTTCGGATATCCGGCCTTTTTCGGATCCGCCAACCTTATTTAATAAGGGGGTATAATAGTTTTTGGCTATTATATCAGTGGGATATCGAGGGAGGTCTTAATAGGAGGTAGGAGAGTCTAGTTTTTTACTGTAAAAGATGTATAAATTAGATTAAATATTGGCTTAAATTTGTTCAAAAACAATGTAATTTTAAATATAAATATTTAATTTACCAGCTTTATTAGTAAATCCTCAAGATGGTAAGAAACATCATAACCAACATTTAATTATTGCCAGAATTTGTTTAGGAATTAATTAATTTCTAAATAAATTATTAAGTTAAAGCTATAATATTTTCAGATAAGTTAAAGCAAATAAATAATATAAGGCTATAAAAATTTTAAAAAATAAAAGAAATCTTGCTTCTGAATATTTATTAAAAATTAAAAACATTTTTAAAAATGGCGAGCTTTTTGGCCGTAAATTGAGGGATCAAAAAAAAAATGCGGGAAAAAATAAATACGTTCCATTAATTTTTAATTTTTTTTCGAATTTTAAGGAAAAATTTTCAAAGAAATTTTTAAAAACTAAAATAATGGAACGTTTAGGGACTAGAATAAAATTTTTATAAAATTAATCTAATTACTACATAAAATTATTTAACAGATTCTGTTGCAATAGAATATTCTTCTTCTACAGCTTCTTGAATATCATAAATATCTCGAAGGGGTCCGCGCTCCAATTTTATAGATTTTCGAAAATCTTTTAGTTTGAAATCTTTCAAAAAGTCGTTTTCGACTGTTAAATAATTTAAATTTATTTTAAAAAAATATTTGAATAACCTTCTACAGTAATAGTACAAGAAGTAACTGCTTGACCTGCGTCATTGAAGGCAGTACAGCTGAAAAAATATAGCTTATTTTTTTATTGGAGGCTGTCTCTATTAGAGAGTAAGGTTAAAAGTTCTAAGGATGTCATTAAAATTTTCTGTTGGATATCCGGCTCCAGTTGGATATCCACTTCCGGCTCCAGTTATCTCAGAAACCGATGGTCTTATTAGAGAGGTACAAAATGGAGGGTACAGAAGTGACAGAGCTCCTACTTTTCGTCAATAAATTAAATAAAAGGTTACGTATAAATGCCGGAATCACTCCAAATGGGTTGATCAATAAGCAATGTACGTAAATTCGAATCTTCTTGAATCAGATGAACACGTGAAGATTCGGCAACTGGCCGCCAATCCTTTGATAAAAAATTTAAAAATTAAGGAGATGAAACCAATATTTATGCACCTTAAGCCATTTAACTTCCGGCACAGGATTGCCTTCAACACGAACATTTAGCCTTAAAGGCTTATCAGAAGTGTAGTCTCGATTGGATAAAGGTTGAGTGAATTTTGGGCGGGCTATAACAATTCATAACTGATAAAGATTATCATTTATCAAACTTACTAGCAACATCAACAAGTAAATTTTGTTCAGCTTTGCCATACTGGTTCTCAGCCACACAAGTATATTGCCCAGCATTTGACTTTTGGAAGCCTAGGAATGTGATGGTAGTCTCAGCACCAGCATGCGAAGAAATACTGAATATTTTCAGGAATATTATTTTTTAAGTAAAAAATCACCGAATGTTTGAGGTTGGCCCGGAGGCATCAATATCCCAACCTCTATGTTTCCACGTAATTTTTGGATCAGGATATCCTGCATAATGTAAAGTAATTGAAAGATGGTCAGTTTCTGCAACGAAGTGTCTTTCTTTTACGCCTGGCGCAAACCTAAAATATTTTTCAATAAAAATTCCTTTAAAAAATTTTCGGCACCAAGGAGTGCAGGCATATTGTTCAGCATGTGCTTGATCCAAAGCTCGCTCCATATATGGGTCAAGAAGAGGTATAACACGTCGGAACTTGTCCAAGACTGGTGGAGGTCTTGCCATTAGCCTCGATGGAGGTGATGGGGGAGATGGGTCGCTAATTCCATAAATATTTTCGGCACGAACACGAAACTGGTAGCTTTTGCCTAGTTCGAGATTTCGAACTTTGCAGACAGGCTCAGGAATATTGTAGTCAAGTAGTTGCCAATCTTTGTCAGGCAATTCACGAAATTCAATAACATAGGTAACTTGAGGGTATCTTGGAGGACTTCTCTTTGTTGGGATCCAAGAAAGGGTTAAATAATGGCCTGTAACTTCTCTACAAAAATAAGAGATTAAGGACAAGTTAAAGATTTTAAACTCCTCACTTTATGAAGGGCCCTCTATCAGGAGGTGTTGGAATTGATTTCCTTTGCCTTCTGAATCCGTATTCTTCCTATAAACAAAAAACTTTCTTAGTAAACTTTTTTATTCCACCGGACCGTTAAATAGGGTGTAACGTCTTCAGAACCGTCAAATTTTATCTTGTCCATGAAGGGAACCGTCACATCCAAAATGGCAGAACTTTGTGCCTGACCATGACAGTTACGCGCAATAGCGACATATTCGCCTGCATCTTCAGTACAGACATCTTGAATTAGAAGGGCATGCGAACCACCACCAGCAACCTGGATCTTGTGACGAGGGCCGGGGCAAATCTTTTTTCCATTGTGATACCTATCAAAATTTTTATCAGAGAAGTCTTTCTAAACTTCATACCAATCAACATCCGGCGGTGGATATCCAACCACAAGACAATCAAATATTGCAGGCATTTTAACAAATACATGTTTGTTTTTGAGTTGTCTAATAAAGCCAGGTGGGAATGGCATAGCTCCACGACCTTCCTCTTCTCCTCCCTCAACAACACGAGGTCTTATCACACTTAAAGAGCCCGTGGAGACAGCCTCTCCAAGTGGATTTTTTGCAACAACTGAATAGTCTCCAGCATCGTCTGGTTGAACATTGACAATTACCTTAAAAGAGTTAATTGTATATAGGAATTGGTATATGTTCCCACCAAATGATGAAGGCCTCGTTCATCTTGGAAAATACTTATTCTCGAGTCAGGTGCTCCTGCCGCTTCTGCCAAAGGTTTACCATCTTTAAGCCATTCAACACTTGGAGTAGGCACACCCAGAACGGCAACTTGCCATTCAAGAGGGCTTCCTTGATGTATGCTTTGATTATGTAGACCACTAAAAATATTTAAACAAAGAAACTTAAAGGAATCCTTACGGCCTGATCCTCGGCTTCTGGTCAGCTGGAGGGCCCTCTTCTTCTACCCTCCTCGCGGGCAAACGGTCACCAATCATTTTAAGCTCTGCTTTAGTGCTGGCTGTGCCATACTATAATATTATAGGGCTTGAATAATCAAAATCTATGGTATCCTACTTCATTATTAGCCACACATCGATAGAATCCCTCAGAGGGAAAGTCCACATTTGTAAGTGTTAATCTTTGTGTTCCATCTGGCAATGCTTCAATACTAATTCCTTCACCAGGTTTAATTTCAATGCCATCCTTAAGCCATTTAATATCAGGGAACGGCTGTCCATAAGGAAGACATTCGAAAACAACTGTTTCTGTAGGCTTTGCACGTTTCATAGTTAAGGGGATAGTAAAGCCTGGAGCACGACCAATGTCCTGAAAATTGAAGTATAAAAATTTAAGGATTGCCAGGTTACTTTCAATTGATCTTTCAAACGTTCTTCAAATGGTTTTCGAGCTTCTTTTGATACTTGAACTTCTCCAACAGTTCGAGCAGTGCCAAAAGGATTCTCTGCTATACAACGATAATTTCCAGAATCAGATCGCATAGATTCGGGGATTTCTAATTCACACCATCCATCATCATCAATCTCCGGAATGGCAACGTGATCATAAGGAAAGAGACGATCACCATCTTTATACCTATTAAATTTATAACTTTATCTAAAAATTAGTATTCCTTCGGACCATTTAATTGTAGGCTTTGGATCTCCACTACGCCATCCAAACCGGCATCGCATTTTTATTGGCTCTTTTTCCATTACTTTAACATTTTGTAAAGGTTCAAGTAATTTTGGAGCTCTATTTGCATCAAATTCATCAGAAACACCCTCAGGTTTTTCCAACTTTGGACGTTCTTCTTCCGCTTTTTTAACGGATACTGTACATTTGTCATAAGCTGAACCATGAGGATTTGTAGCAATCACTCGATATACCCCGTCATCATCAATAGTGCAAGAGGGAATAATTAGCTTTCCATCTCCAGTCTGAGGGTCACGTTCTAAACGGCATCGTTCTGAGGGTCGAATCTGTTCTCCATCCTTGTACCAAACCAACTCAGGGGTTGGGTCACCTTCAACGCGGCAATGGAGTGTTAGAGGATGACCTTCAGTTACTCGCTGATCTGCTAGGCGTACACTGATCAATGGAGGTTTTCCTTCAGCAGTTGGAGGTGCTCCCTTCTTAAAATTTGAGATTACTTATTTATCTACATAGAAAGTAGTTACCCCTAGCTCATCTTCAACGCGTACAGTTGCTCTTGTACTTGCTTGTCCACTTTCATTTGTAGCAACACAACGATAAGTTCCTTCATCGTGGGCTGTCGCATCACGTATTCGCAATCGGTAAAAGCCTTCATCTGGCCGACTCTCGCTCCAATCGAAACGAGCATCTTCCGCCAAGGGATGCCCATCTTTGGTCCATTTTACTGTGGGTAATGGTTTTCCAGTTACTTTGCATTCTAATTCAATAGGGGAGCCAGTAAATACGGTAGAATCGGAAAGAGGTATAATAAAGCGTGGTGCTTCTCCCTCTTCAGATGGCGGAGGCTTTTCTGCTTTTAATTTCACTAAAAATATGGATAAGTAATCACTTTTTCTAAAAAACACTCACTATCTACATGCCCTGTAGCTTGTGTTTTAGCAGTTCCAAAAGCATTGGACGCTTCACAACGATAAATACCCTCATCTGCAATTGAGCAATCACCTATAGTAAGTCGACATTCTCCATTTGGAAGGCGTTCAATCTCAATTCGGCCCTCAGCAGGAGAAAGTAGTTTACCATCTCTATACCATTTGATTTCGTCTGGTGTTCCTCCACCCAAAATACAGCTAAAGACCATTTTGTCACCACGGTCAATGTATTGGTCAACAAGGCCACGGACAAATTGAGGAGGTTCACCGGCAGCCTCTTCAGCAACAGATGGAGCTCGTTTTTTAACCCCAACTTGACATGCGGTGTTGGCGCTGCCATGAATGTTTTGGGCAACACAACGATAAGCTCCTAATAAAGGAAAACATTTTTAAAGGATTTTTGAGGTAAAGCACCTTCATCATTAATTAAACAATCATCAATTGTTAACAAGCATTCTCCACTTTCCTCATTATAATTTATACGAATTCTGTCACCCGGTCTAATAGGTACACCATCCTTGTAAAATGTAATACTTGCCGGTGGTTGAGCTTCTACTCGGCAACGTAGCAAAATTTGTTTGCCTTCCTCAAAGGCACAATCTTCTAATCCGGGATTAAATCTTGGAGCTTTTGCAAGCTCTTCTTTAGGAGCTTCTTTCTCTGCTATCGGTTCAACGTTGTAGTTTGCGCGGGTGTCAGCAACTCCGAAGGGATTTGTTGCCTGGCAGCGATATTCGCCTGCTCCAGCGTCAGCGCGGAAATCTTTAATGCGCACCCGGCAGGCACCATCAGGCGTATTTCTAATTTCAATGCGTCCATCGCCAGTGTCCTTGAGCGGTTCACCATTGTAAAACCTATAATATTGCTAATATCTCCCTAAAAACCATAGAAATCCCCACCATTCAATATCCGCTGCAGGTTTCGCATCTACATGACATTCAATTGATAAAGGTTGCCCTTCAGGTATTCTTCGATCCCAAAGAGGTACATTAAACTTCGGAGCATAACCACTTGGTTCCGATGGAACAATTGAAGGTTTCCTTTCAGAAGGCTCAAACTGTGCTTCACATTGATCCTGCCCAAGTGGATTACTTGCAACACACTTTAGGGTTCCAAAATCTTCTTGACGTATGTCAGCAATGGTTAAGGACCAATTTCCATCAGATAAATCTTCAAGCTTGAAACGTGGTTCTCCAATAATTGGTTTTCCATTGAGTGTCCATTCGAGTGTTGGGGAAGGCACTCCTCGCACTTTGACGCGGAATTCAACATTAGAACCAGGAGTTCCTTCAGTCTTTTTCAATGGAATAACGAATTTTGGCGCTTCTCCCTTCTCGACACCTCCAATTGTTACTTTAACTTGACAACTTGTTTCAGCCTGTCCTGCTTCATTTTTAGCGACTGCTCGGAATTGGCCAGCCTCAGAACGTTTTACATCTCTAATGCGAAGCATTGCACTTCCATCCAAGCCCAAACGAATGGCTATACGATCACCATCTGGTTGGAGTTGTTCTTCTGCAGTGGCACCCTCTGTTTTGCGATACCATATAACCTTTTAATAATTTTCATATGAGAAAATTGAGGTAGTTTACCTCTTCAGGCAATGGCTGTCCTCCAACCGTGCACTTTAGTGTAAGAACTTCACCCTCTGGCAGTTCTACGTCTGAAAGTGGACTTAGGAATACTGCTGGACTTGTTTCTATTGATGGTTTCCGCGAGCGAACATGAGCAACAGATCCAGAAGAAACTTCTCCTCCAGCAGGATTGGCAAAAACTACACGATAAGCCCCTCCATCTGAGGTTGCTGCCGAGGGTATGAGCAACGAATAAATGCCAGTTTCAGGATTGGAAATCTTTAAAAGAATGTTCTTTTACAGATTTAAAATTTTTTAATACAATTTTTAGCCTTTCTCCATCAGGTTTTACTTCCACACCATTTTTCAACCATGTAACACTTGCAGGCTGTCCATCCAATTCGGCAACAAGTTCAAGAGGTTCACCCTCGTTAATGGTAACATCATTCAGGCCTTTACGTAATTTGAATTGGACGGGCTTGCGCACTTTCAAATCGGCCTGAGATTCACATTGACCAGCACGATTGGACAGAATAACCTAAATATTTAATGCTTGCGTTAATAACCTTATCTTCACCTTATAGGCCGCACCATCCTCAAGTTTTGCATCAGTTAATTCAAGCTCATATTTTTTAGGCGAAATATCTTTAAGGCGAAAACGAGCACCAGCGGGTGCCGTAATTTCCTGGCCATCTTTGAACCATTTTACTGTAGAAAAATATAAATAATTCTGCCTCAATTTCGAAAATATCTACCCGTTCGAATAGGTGCTGAAGCCTCAACACGGAATAGATGTTCATCCCCTTCAAGAATATCTCCTGGAAGGAGTCCCTGGACAATCCTAGGTGCTTGATCAACTTCGGCACGGGCAGTAGAAGCTGCCTTGCCTGCAGCATTGATAGCTTGAACTTCGAATTCTCCAGCATCAGAGAGAAAAGCAGCTGGAATTGTCAGCCGATAGCTAAAAATAGGTAATGTGAATTCAAAAGGTTTAAATTCTTCCACAAACGTTTGATCATCAACTTTTTGAACTTGAATTCGAGCATCTTTCCCAACAGGAAATTCATCTTTTAACCATTTAATTTCATCAACATCCCCTTGTATTTGCACTTCAAATGTTAAAGGCTCTCCTTCAGCAACGATTTGATCAAGCAGAGCTTTTACAATTTTAGGTGGCTCTAATTTCTTGAGAGGGCGAACAGACAATTGTGCAGAACTTTCAGCTTTTCCAGCAGTATTTTCTAGCTGAATTTTGTATGCTCCAATATCTTCTTTGATCGCAGATTTAATAATTAATTTGAAGATGCCAGTATTCGGTTCAGAGATTATTTGGATTCTATCATCCACTATGATCTCATTTCCATTTTTAAACCATTTAACAATACGTGGCAAACTTCTCAAATTAGTTTCACACATAAACTCTGCCACCGCACCTTCATCAACTTCCAAATCTTTGAGAGGTTTAATAAATTCTGGGAAGGGTTCAACTGTTTGTTTAGCTTCACATTTAGCCTTTCCAGCATCATTTCCAATTTCTACGGAATAAAGGCCAGAATCATCAGCTAAAGCAGAAGGAATGATGAGACGGAAGTGATCAGGCCCTAATTGTTCCATTCGAATGCGGTCTGATGGCAATAATTCTTGGCCATTTTTGAACCTAAATTTGGCAAAATATTTGGATGTTTCTGGCAAACTTTTTCCTACCATTTAACTAAGGTTGGCTTTCCAGTAGTTTTAACCTCTAAAACAAGCTGATCTTTCTCAGGAATTGTTTGCTCACGAAGGGGTTGTTCAAATCCTGGTACTTGTGCTAAGGATCGCACACCTAGTTGAGCAGAACTTTCTGCCTTTCCAGCAGTATTTTCTAGAAGAATTTTGTATGTTCCAATATCTCCTTTTATGGCAGATTTGATAATTAGTTTGAAGATGCCAGTATTTGGTTCAGAGATTATTTGTATTCTATCATCAGCAAAAATCTCATTTCCATTTTTGAACCATCTAATAACCCGCGGTAAGCTTCTTAAGTTAGTTTCACACATAAACTCCGCAACAGCACCTTCATCAACTTCCAAATCCTTGAGTGGTTTAATGAATTCTGGGAAGGGTTCAACTGTTTGTTTAGCTTCACATTTAGCCTTTCCAGCTTCATTCTCAATCTCAACAGAATAAAGACCAGAATCATCTCTTAGAGCAGATGGTATAGTAAGACGGAAATGATCAGGTCCCAGTTGCTCAATTTTGATACGATTCGATGGAGTAACTTCTTGTCCATTTTTAAACCATTTAACAATGTGAGGCTTCCCAATAGTTTCAACTTCAAGTAATAATTCATCCTCTTCCGGAATTGTTTGTTCTCGCAGAGGTCTTTTAAAACCAGGCTTTTCAGCTGGAAGTAAAACTCTAAGTTGGCAGCTAGAATCGGCACCCGGTTCGTCTTCTTTGTCAAAGACTTTGACCTTAAAATATTTTTTTATAAAAATGTTACAAAGGTAATAATCACACCGAATAATTAGCTGCATCAATTTCATCAGCATCAGGAATTTCTAGTTTGAATTTAGTATCAGATATCTGTTTTGGCTGTGCTTTAACTTGTCCGGGCTTTAATTCTTCACCATTTTTGTACCATTTTACTATTTTAGGAGCTCTGTTAGTTTCGATTTCGAGGACTGCAGTTTGGCCTTTTGGCACTTGTTGATCAGTTAGAGGACGAACAAAGCCTAAAGGAGGAAGTGCTGGAGGGAGTACTGTAAGTGGAGCAGAGGAATCAGCCTCTCCGGCATTGTTGGATAATACAACCTGGAAAATCAGATTTTAGGTATAAAACACTCAAGAATTTTTTCTGCCTTGTAATCCCCTTGATCATCTTCATTAGCTGATGGTATAATTAAACGATAAATCCCAGCAGCTTTGTCCTCTTCAACCACTGGATTTTCTAATTCCTTTCCGTTCTTGTACCATTTAACAGTTCTAACAGGTCCACGAGCTTGGACTTCGAATTTGGCAGGTTCGCCAGATCGAACGCTTACAGGCAATAGACCTTTGACGATTTCTGGTTTTGGTTCTGAAAAATTGTTTTGCTTAAATATTTTTATAATAATTAATTCATGCTAACAATTATTAGCTTTAAATTAAGAAAAGAAAATGACAGCTGCGCGACTAGTTTAGAAGCAATTAGAACCAAGCGAAATGGCACATTTAATAATGATCAGTAAAGAAATAATTAGAGAAACAATAAAATCATGGTCAGATTGCGCAATGATTTTGATAGTTAATGAGGGAAATATTAGCAGATGTAATAAAAATATATTTAATGGGACTATAATTAAAATAAATTCAATATAAAAATACAAAGAATTGTAATTTTATTTTTCATTATAGCACTTAATAAAGCTTAAAAATGGCAAATATTATTTCCATTGTTTTATTACAATTAATAATGGCACAATTTTTTGTGATCAGCATCCACGGATCAGGCAAGTCTTGAGTGCTTTTTAGTCAATATCCTTCCTATAACAGAGGACTATCATCATGGATATGGCCATCACCAGCCTTATGGGTACGGACATGGATATGGTCAGAGATATGGTAATGACTATGGATATGGAGGGCATAACCCTTCGGAACATCATGGAGATTATGGGTAGAAATAATAAAGTAAATGTTGATTCAAGTCCTTTTAAAGGTATGGACATCATGATGACCATCATAATCCACACCAACAATATGGCTATGGAAATCCGGGGGGATACGGTGGAGAATATGGAGGAAAATACGGAGGATACGGACATTATGGAGGAAATGGAAGTCCATTTCCCTACGCAAAGTATATGTGAATAAAAGAATAATAAATAGAGAAGTGGAGGAATTTATTGATAAAAAGTGATTAAAATGATAAAAGAGATAAATTGATATTTTTGTAATTAGAGATAAAGCCTCTTAATAATAATATAAAATCCCTACCAGCTTCAGTAACAGCAGCGGCGCTGTCGGCAGAACCAGCTCCATTTGAAACTTGTACAGAATACTTGCCAAAATCACCGTCATCTTTGAGTTCTGGAACCATTAAACGATAATGCCCATTGCCCAAATCCTCTCCAGGGCCTAGTGGGCGTCCATCTTTAAACCATTGAACATTTGTGGGTTTTCCATCTACTTCAACGTCTAAAACAAGAGGAGAGCCCTTAGGAAGGTTCTGATCTTGTAGGCCACGTTTGAATGTTGGAGGGGTCTCTTTGACGGATGCTAAATTTCAGTATATAAATTGAACTATTCTTATAAACGTACGAATAACAGTTAGTGGCGCTCCAGATCTAGCAGACCCTGCTGGATTTGTTGCTACACATTCGTAATAATTTCCATCATCGTTGGGGCCGACTGGAGGCAAATGAAGGCGTTGTGTGCCATCTGGTAATGATTCAACTTTCCCATCATCTGGTCCAAGTTCTCGGCCATTCTTGTACCATTTAACATCAGGTTTTGGAGTTCCATGTATTTTACATTCAAAGAAGGGTTCTTCTCCTTCCTTAGCCTGTACAGGTTTAAGTTGTTCAACAAATTCTGGCACCATTTCCTTCGGAATTTCAGGCATTTTTTCTGCTAAAACTACACGAAGAGGAGCCTCAGTTGATGCTTTCCCAGATGGATTAGTTGCTTCACAACGGAACTGGCCAGCATCGGTAATGCGTGCCGCAGGAAGTGTTAGGCGTGCCGTGCCATCAGGGAAAAGAGTTTGTTTGAAATGAACATCCCCAGCATCAATTGGTTCACCATCCTAAGATTAGCATTAGAAAAATAGAATTATCTACATAGCAAAACTTGCCTTAAACCATTTAAGTGTAGGCATAGGTTCTCCTTTTACAACACATTCCAACTCAGCAGGTGCACCCTCTTGAGCATGAACCTCCTGTAGAGGTTTAACGAATGAGGGTGCAGTTGGCCCTTGCATTTCGGAAACTTCAGGGGTGTGGGCTAAAAGACAGATTTTCTGGTAAATGCATTAATACGGAGATAGCTCACTTGAAACAGTTAATGTCACATCACTCCAAACGTCCCCGTATTTATTGCTAGCTTCACAGCGATAATCATCCATATCCCCAAGTTGTGCATCACTGATAACTAGTCGCTGTGTTCCATCAGGATGTGCCTCGATACGGTATCGGGGATTTGCCCCTTGAACGAGAAGCTGATCACCCTTGTACCATTTGATTTCTGGGAAGGGAAGTCCAGTAACTTTGCCTTCAAGAATTCCAGTGCCACCTGAGAGATTGGGGGAAATAATCACAAATATTTTTCAAATTATGGTTCATACCAACACGGACAGTAATAGGGCGTATTGGCTCAGTAAAATCAGGTGCCTCTCCATCAATAGGCAAACTACCTTCTGCAGCAACAATTATTGGACCCTAATAATTAAATAATTGACCAGAATATTCTGATTATTCTGATTATTTAAACATTCTACCTCAGTCCAAGCAGTTCCATACTCATTTTCAGCATCACACCGATACTCGCCAGTATCTTCCATTTCGGCATTTTTAATCGTTAAAATAATTGTTCCATCATCATGATATTCCATACTAATACGATCTGTTGCTGTTACAGGGCCATAGCCTTGTCTACTCCAAGTGATTGTAGGCCGAGGAAATCCTTTCACTTTACAACGAAGTACAACAGTTCCCCCTATCGTTGTTGTTGCAGATTTGAGAAGTTCTACAAATTCTGGTGGTCCGGGTGCCATCTCGCCTCCTTCGGCTGGCGCTAAAATTATTTTATTTAATAAAGTTTGGGAGGGAAAACGAAGGAAATAAGTAAAATATCCAATTCACCAATAACTCCAAGTCTTGCCTCGGTCCAAATTTGATTGCCATTAACATCTGTAGCAACACATCGATAAACGCCAATGTGATCAAATTGAGCACATTCGAAAATTAATCGCTGAGTAAACCCATCTGGGCTTTGCTCAATTCGTAGAGCATATTGCAATAATTTATTAGCTAAAATTGCACCATCCTTGAGCCAGTCAAAGCTTTAAATTTAATAGGTTATCAAATTAATGTTGGGAGGGAGAGAAATTACCGTATCCCTCTAGCCGAAGTAGGTGCCAATTCACACTCGAAAACGACGTTTGTTGTCCCCTTTTGAACTTGTTGATCTTGTAGTTGTCGACGCCAAGAAAGAAACGTTTCCTCCATGGGTTGTTCAATCGCAACTTGTTGGGCATATCGAAGAGGAGCGCTTGTTTCAGCCTTTCCAACAGGATTGACAGCTTCACAGCGATACTCCCCAATATCATCCTTTGTAGCATGAAGAATTCGCAAGCGCAAAGTGCCATCTGCAGATTGCTCCATTTGGATATTCGGGGAAGCTTGTGGAGAGATTTGTCGACCGTCATGGAACCATTGAATTTCTGGTTTTGATTCAGTTGCATTGACCTTATAAGGAAATATTGGGATTTTCAATGATTATTAAGTAAATCTTACTTGACAACTCATCTCTACGCTTTCACCCTCCTTCACTGTTTGTGGCTCTAGTTTTCGTGTAAATATTGGTTGAACTTGTCCTTCCTTCATTGGTTCAACTACATGTTCTGTTGGGAATTTTAATGGAGCACTTGTTTCATCCCTTCCAGCTTTATTAATAGCTTCGCATTTATAAACTCCAGCATCTTCTTTTTGTGCATTTGAGATAGTTAAAGTGTGGTGTCCTTTATCATCCTTTTTGGCGACAGCGTGGACTCCATTCATATATATTGGTTCTCCATTGCGAGTCCAACGGACCTCAGGTTCCGGTTTTCCTTGTACTGTACACTCAAGATTGACGACATTTTGTCCAGGTTCAACTGTAAGCTCTTTAAGTGGTTCTGTAAATCTTGGAGCTTCAACGTCTTCAATAACTCCAAATTTGGCCTGAGTCTCAGCTTGTCCTGCTTTATTCACTGCCTTGCAAGTATAAGTCCCAGCATCAGCAAGATTGGCATCTTTTACTGTTAAGCTGTGTTGGCCCTTCCCTTCATCTTTAACGATAGTGTGGACATTGTCAACCTGAACAGGCCATCCATCTTTGTTCCATTGAACTTCTGGTTCAGGTTTTCCAGTTACTTCAACAGACATTTTAGCTGTTTCGCCTTCTTTTACTTCAACAGGTTTAAGTCCATCAATAAACTTTGGAGCTTCCATTTCTTCTATAACTGCGAAATTGGTTCGAGTTTCGGCAGAGCCAGCCTTATTAGTTGCTCTACAACTATATGTTCCTGCATCAGAATTCTTCGCATCTTTAATTATTAGTTCGTGTTTTCCATGTCCATCATCTGTAGCAACAACATGAATTCCATCAACTTGAACAGGTTGTCCATCCTTAAACCATTGAACTTGTGATATTGGTTTGCCCTTCACTTCGACAGACATTTTTGCTGTTTCCCCTTCTTTCACTTCAACAGGGGTTAATCCTTTAGTAAATTCTGGTGCTTCCAAATCTTCTATAACCCCAAATTTGGCCTGTGTTTCGGCCATTCCAACTTTATTCGTTGCTTTGCATGAATAGGTTCCAGCATCTGCTGTATTGGCATCTTTTACTGTTAAACTATGTTGGCCCTTCCCCTCATCTTTAACAATAGTGTGGACATTATCAACTTGAATAGGCCATCCATCTTTATTCCATTGAACTTCTGGTTCAGGTTTTCCGGTTACCTCAACTGACATTTTGGCTGTTTCTCCTTCCTTTACTTCAACAGGTTTAAGTCCATCAACGAATTTAGGTGCTTCCAATTCTTCAATAACAGCGAACTTTGCTTGGGATTCGGCTTCTCCAACTTTATTAGAAGCTTTACAGGTATAAGTTCCAGCATCACTATTTTTGGCATCTTTAATTATTAATTCGTGCTTCCCATGTCCATCATCCGTAGCAACTATATGAACACCATCAACATTAACTGGCTGTCCGTCTTTAAACCACTGAACTTTAGGTGCTGGTTTGCTATCCACCTGGACAGACATTTTGGCAGTTTCACCTTCCTTTACTTCGACTGGTTTTAAACCATCAACAAATTTGGGGGCCTCTAGTTGTTCTATTACTCCAAGCTGTGCTTGTGTTACGCATTGGCCAGCCTTATTTTTTGCTTGACAAGTATATGTACCGGCATCGCGGAGTGTGGCATTTTGAACAGTCAAGCTGTGTTGATTATCTGAATCACGTTGGATTATGTGTTGTCCGTCAATTTCAACTGGAGATCCATCCTTGTACCTAAATTTGAACGTTAATTAATGATCCTGAGATTTTCCCTACCAAAATATTTCTGGCATAGGTACTCCACTAACCACTACTGACATTGTTGCTGAATCACCTTCACGTACTTCTACTGGTCTCAGTCCTTCAGTAAATTTAGGGGTTTCCAACAGTTCCTCCACAGTTACACGACTCTCAGTTTTAGCTTGCCCAGCTTTATTTGTTGCTTGGCAATTGTAAAGTCCAGTATCGGAGATTAAAGCATCTTTTAACTGAACAACATAATGACCTCGCTGTTCATCAATTTCTTGTTGAACAATTCGAGTATCGAATTGAATTGTTTGACTATCTTTAAGCCATTGAATTTGTGGTGTTGGTCTTCCTTCTACAGTAACTGAAAATGTGACTGTTTCACGTTCACGAATTTGTACGTCATGCAAAAGTTCGGTAAAAATAGGAGGGGCCAAATCCTCACGAACTGTTAAACGTCCACGTGTCTCAGCTTCCCCTGCTGGATTGACTGCCTTACAAGTATAAAGGCCAGATTCTGAGGGTGTTGAAGTCGTAATAGTAACAGAATGTCGTTCTTGAATCTCATCTACTGTCTCACTAATAATTCTGATGCGTTGTCCATCATCATATACAGGTTTTCCATCACAACTCCATTGAGCTTGCGGTTTTGGTTCGCCAGAAACTGTGCATGTTAAAACAACGGTTTCAGTCTCACGAATAGATACATCGCGTAATGGTTGAGTAAATTCTGGTGCTTTTTGTAATTCTTCCTTTTTATCAACAGCTAATTGTGCATGGCTACTATCTTTACCAGCTTGGTTGCTAATTTGAATTCCATAGTCTCCAGCATCTTCCACTCGCGCATCTTCTATAATAAGTTTAAACTCTCCACTATCTCTATACTCAACTAGTCGAACACGTTGATCTGCAGGTACCAGAGGTGTTCCATTTTTGAACCATTCAACTTCTAACGGCATTCCTGGCCGACCACCAGCAACTCTAACACCCATTTCTACTGTTTCACCCTCTCGAACTCGAGAACGTTTTAATGGTTCAATAATGCGAGGGCGTTCCAGACTAGTCTCTTGTTCAACAATTTTAGCTTCACATTGAACTTGTCCAATTTCATTTCGAGCAACTGCTCGATAAGTGCGAAAATCACCTTGCTGCATTTCTTTAATAACCATTCTCCATTGTATATTTGTAGCATCATGTTGAATACTAACTCGAGTGCCAGTCTGAATGCGGAAATTGTCATGTGCTGAGTAAAATTCAACTGTTGGCTGCGGAATCCCTTTAACATGGCATTCTAAGACTGCTTGGCCACCTAATTGTGCTTGTAGATCAGTTAGGGGACGAGTAAATACGGGTGCCATTGCTTAAAATTTTATATTTCATCGGGTTTTATACACAAATCTTTACTTTCAACACGTAGATTTGCAGAAGTTTCAGCCTTTCCAATTACATTTTCAGCAGTGCAAGTATAACAAGCTTCATGGACTCTCTCCACACTTTCAATTATTAAACGCTGGATGCCCTTATCGCTTTCAGTGCGCACTCCAGGCAAAGAATCCAAAGGTTTTCCATCTTGAAGCCACACAATTTGTGGCTCGGGTAATCCAGTAACTTTGCACTGAAATTTTATTGGAAATCTAAACATCTCCACACGTTTATTACCTCAAATGTAACCCTTTCAGTGAGGGGCACAGATTTGTCCTGTAATTTGATGCTAAAATCGGGTGGCATCTGGACAGGTTTGTCCATTGTTTCTGAAATAAATTAGTTATATTAATCATTCTTATCATCTACTTACCAACAACAGTCAATTCAGCTTCACATTGTGCCCTCCCCGCCTCATTCTCAACAATAACAGTATATTTTCCGGCATCTTCAGGTTCTACTGCATCAATAACCAATTCAGAAGTTGTAAATCCTTCAATCGTTTGTACTTGAACTCTAATTCTAGCAATTAATTCAATCTCCATTCCATCATGTAACCATTTACAACAAACGCCTTTAGTGTCAGGAACAACACATTCAAATATTGCTTGATGTCCACGTTGAATTCTTGTATCCTTTATTTTTGTAATAAAGGCCGGTGCCATTATGGGGGTTGAAGTTCTCATGGTCTCCATTAAATCCTCTTCCAAACGTTCCTCAACTTGGGAACCGCTTTCGGATTCAGTGAACATATCGGAAGTGTAGGTCTATAGGGAAAGTAGGGATAGTTAGCAATAGAAGGTATTAGCTTACAGCCATATTTGCTGTACAAGATACTTCTCCAGCATCATTTTCAGCCTTACAAATAATTTCTCCAACGTGCCTTTCGGGATTGAACGAAGGTATAGTTAAAGTTGAAGTGTTCTCAGTTGTTGTAATAATTATCTCTTCAGTACTAGTAACAATTTCTTGATTATTAATAAACCAGCTAATAGCTGGACGAGGCTCTCCGGTATAAACGACTTTGTGGATAACCTAAAGAAAATTTAAAAATCTCCTTAAGAATGTGATAGTACCTCTGATCCTTGACGTGCCCGCACATTACTTAGCCATTCAATAAAATCAGGAGGTTCACCTCGTGGTAAAACTCTCAACGTTGCTTGTGATGAGGCCTTTCCAAACTCATTAACAGCCTCACAAACAACGCTACCAGCATAGTCTTGTGTAATATTTCGAATTAAAACGGTGTATGTTGTTCCAATAGTTGTGATTTTACAGTTTTGGCTTTCCACTAATTTATTCCCATTAATAAACCAAGAAACTTCGGGCATTGGTTCTCCGAGTAGAACAGCTTTAAGTCTAAGAGTATCACCCTCACGACAGGTTGCGTCGCATAAACCAGTCTTCAATTGGAAGGTTTTAGTTGGAAATAAATCAAATATTACTTCAAACTCCACAGGTACTGGAGCAACGACTACCAATTTCCCCTCAATAATAGCTTCTCCCATTTTATTGCCAGCAACACAACGAATTGTGCCAGTCATATCACGAGTACACCCGTGGATTTTAAGTGTGTAAACGCCCGATTCGTGTACCATTTCTGTATCTTCTGTTTGGTAAACCATTTGATTGTTGATGTACCTTTAGAGGTTAAAAAGGACAAGTAAAAAAGGATAAATTCCAATTCTTCTACCCACCATTTAGTGTAAGGTGTAGGGTCTCCGCTTATGATCACCTTAGCATTTAGCCTGATAATTATTTAATTTTTTAAATTTTAATAAATTTAAAATACGTATCGCCTTCTGTAACAGTAATAGGACCCAGTTCAGAGAGAAATTGAGGCTTTCTTAACGACTGACGCCTTTGAATACCAACATTGGCGGTACATTCTATGATTAAAATTTCATTTAAAAATTTTCTTAAAGCTACCGCATTTGCCAAATTGGTTTTCTGCTTGTATAGTGATTCGGCCTTTGTCAGCCATTTCAATCCGTAAAATCCTGAATTTTTAATTGAATATACCCCTCATATTATCGCAAATTTTTGGCTAAACTTACGTCATTCTGTAAACCCTATGGTCAATATCTCCTTCTTCAACAAGTTTAACACGTTCACTAGATTGTAGTTCAACCCCATCTCGGAACCATTTAACAGTAGGTTCGGGTCTGACACCCGAAGCTAATTGGGCTTCTAAAACCAATGTTTGTTGATCATCCATAAGGCGATCCTTTAATGAATAAAAATATTTTTATTAGGATCTCTAGTCTACTTCCAAATTTCGAGCAAATGTTGGAGGTACTCCAACTTCTTTAACAGCTAATTGTGAATTCTGGCGCTTAGTTCCTGCAGAATTTTTTGCAATACAAGCACACTCTCCTGCTTGCTCTTTTTTGACGTTAGTGATTTCGAGAATGTGATTATTGCCTTCCTTGGTTATTCGAATATTGCTTAATATTTATTTTATCATAAATTTTCGAGTGTTTACTTACTCTCCATCACTCAACGGTTTCCCATTTAAAGTCCATTGCACCTCAGCTGGAGGCACAGTTTCTTCAATACGAACAATAAATTTTATATCTGCCCCTTCAGGGACTAGTTTATCATCCATATCAGTAAGAAAACGAGGCAGATCAGCCTTTGGTTGAACCAAAAGATTAGCGAAAGCTTCAGTAGCCCCATGAATATTTTCTGCAAGAACACGTATTTCACCCGTATGTGTATCAGCGCGAGGGTGGAATATTCTAATTGAAGTTTTCCCAGTACTAGTGTCATGCCTTATTCGTAGTTGATCGCTGGCAGTGAGAACTTGTCCTTTCAAGGACCTGATAAATTTTTTAATTAGGTTAGAAGAATGATATCAATTTACCAAGTCACAGTCGGAACAGGCTCTCCATGCACAATAGCACTAAATTTGACTGATTCTACATCATCATATACATCATGATCCTGAGGTTGTCTACTAAAGTATGGAGGGCCAAGAACACGTGCATGAACGTGGATATTGGCCTCGGATTGTACTCCATCCCCTTGTCCATCTTGAGTAGCTCTTAACACAACTCTAGCACCATTATGAGCAGAAATAGTTGTTCTTGGTATTCGAAGGGTGTGTTCAGTTTGATCTCCAGTTTGACGACTGGTTATCTGAATATTCTCATCTCCTCCCTCAACTGGAGTACCATTAAGGAGCCAACGAATGTTAGGTGTTGGAGTGCCAATGACTGATGCACGAAACTCGGCAGTGTCGTTCTCGATAACCTTTAATAAATATTTTTAAATTTAGCGGGAAAGATCAAATAACCGTTATATCTGTTAAGGGCTTCCGTATTTGTACTGGCACGTTAGCTGTTGAACCTTGACCATTCTCAACTAATATTCTAACTTGTCCATTACTCTCAGACTTTCCATTTTCATTTTCTGCCTCGACTTTTAGTTGTCCATTTTGGCCTACTTGAATATTTGGAATGATAAGTCGGCTACGACCAGGCGATTGTTCTATACGAATTCCTTCTTTTCCATCCTAATTTAATTTTTAAAAATTCACAAAAATTTATTTAAAACCTCAAGAGGAATATTATTTTTAAACCATTTAATTGTTTGTGCATCAGACACCTCAACCTCTGCAATTAGATTATCACCGGGGCGGCATTCCAAAACAGCTCCTTCAAGTCCTTTAGTAAAAGTAGGCTTTAGGCCACCGTAAAATTGAACTAAAATTAGGGGAAGGGTTAATGCTTTTATCTCTCATTTAGAGATTCACCTTCCATTGGTTCTCCTTCTGTCGCCAAAACCTTCTGATCACCAACAACAATGGTAACAGGAGGGATATTCTCAACTTTAGTTATCAAACTACTAGCTTCAGATTCTTCCTCACCACCATCAAAACGGCCTTTCTTTGTCGGTGGTCCTATAGTAACACTAAATTTGGAAGAGGTGGAAGTTTCGCCCTCAGTATTAACAGCAATACACTCAATAGTGCCACCATCCTCCAAACTGTTTTTAAGAAAAATTAAGGTTAATTAACCCCGTCTTTTAAATGCTCACCGGCATTTATTAAGTTCCAAACGGCCAATTCCTCCATCAGCCTGGCTCAAAATTATTCTCCCTTCTCTATCACCATTATTCAATTCAACCCCATTCAGGCGCCAAATAAATTTATTAACCAAAGATTCGGGATCAACACAAACTTCAAAAACGACAGAATCCCCTTCATTTTCTGTTTTATCAGTAAGTGGTTTGCGAAATACGGGTGGTTGTTTCCGTCGTTCAGGGGGTAGAACAATTAACCTTGCTTTTGTTTCAAAACGTCCAATAGCATTCTCAGCTCTTTAATTTAGGGAATATTAAAATAGAAATTTTGGTTACCTGCACAAAATAGTGCCAGCCCAATTTGTTGAATCTAAAGTTATCTTTTGTCCAGTTCCCTCTCCGGTTGATTCAATAGAGATTACTCCTTGAGTTTGAGCATTCAATTTATTGCCGTTGATGAACCAACTGAGAACAGGGAGAGGAGAACCACGGGCAATCGCTTCAAATATAGCGTGTTCACCGTGTTTAACTGTCTAAATTATAGGGTTATATGTAAGCATTCCCCCGCTAAAAACTCGCCTGATCTTCAAGTTCCTTAACAAAAGTAGGGGCACTCCTGCTTTCTTCCTCCTCAGGTTCAACAGTCAATCTGGCACGACTTTCTGCCTGTCCATGGTCATTTTGTGCCCGGCAGAGCAACTCTCCATCGTGTGAGTCAATTTTACAATCAGGGATTGTGAGGCGATAGTTGCCCTCAAGCTGCCGAATTTCTACTCCTCCAACTCCGTCAATTAATGGACAGCCCTTCAAGAAGAATTCTACTTTTGGCTGAAACAGTAAAGTAATTAGAATGAAGATAGTTTCGAGGGAAATAACCTCGGGATACCCTACAACATCCAACTCAAACATAACAGCTCCATTCTCAGTAATCATTCTATCCTCTAAGGGGCGTTCAAAGTATGGGGGGAGAGGTGGTACACGGACTCTCAGTCTTGCTTCACAACTGCTCGAACCAAGACGATTCTTTCCTTGACAAGTAACAGTCCCATCTTGATGACGATTTACGTCTTTAACAGTTAAAATACAAATGCCATCTTCGCTAATGAATTGAACCTTGGGAAAGGGAGGTGAATATTGCTCAGAAACTTATTCAATACCTTTTCTGATTGAGTAAGAGGAATTCCATTAATGTACCAAATCACTTCGGGGTTCGGATCACCAGTAAGAATTGCCTTAAATTTCACAGTATCCCCTTCATTACAGTCTGCATCTTCGAGGACAGCCTTTAAATTTATTAAAAATCAAATGATGGTCATGATCCAGGTGAAGAAACTGACTTGAAATTCTGGAGAAACATGGTTTCTATCTGGATCCGACTGAACCTCCAGCCGACACCGTGTTTCTGCCACACCATAATCATTTGTAATGCGTACTGTATATGTGCCAGTATCATCTGGTTGAGCGTCGCGAATTTGTAAAGTTCCTCGTTGCCCATCATACTGAATTCGGAAATCGTGGGAGGGCCTTAATGGCTGTCCATCCATTAGCCAAAGAAGTTCAGGTTCAGGCCATCCACTAACTTGGCATTCAAAATCAACAACATCCCCCTCTTTACAACTCCTATCGGATGGTTCCAACATTTTAACAAAATCAGGAGATGCTGATTCTTTTTCAACTTTTAAAACTCGAAAGAAAGCTGAAGTGCTAGCTTGTCCATATTCATTAGTAGCTACACAAGTATACCTTCCAGTATCGCCAGTTTGAACTGGATCTATCGTTAAAGCAAAGAATCCATCTTCATCAGCATAAAATGTATGGCGGTCGTCTTCTCGTACCAAAACATTATCTTTGTACCTATAAAAAAATTTTTTTTGGAAAACTTATTCTTGGGGCAGTTCCAGAAACTTGCCAAGTAATATCAGGCAAAGGATATCCAGTCACTTTCAGACACATTTTTGCAGAAGATTCTTGTAATGTACGAAATCCATATTGAGTTCGTGTAACTTTGGTTCCTTGCATTTCCAAAGCTGTACCTGTTGTTTGCCATTCAAGTTGGCTACTTCCCCCACTATACAATGATGTAGATGAACCAGTTGGAGAGATGACTGGAGGTGATTTAACTTTACGGCGTGGAGGGCCTTCCTCAGGACCTTTAAAATAATGGAGATTTATAAAAATTTGGGAGGATTTTATTTATTCTTACACCAAGAGGGGTCAACTAGCTCAATGCCGCCTTCTTCAGCCTCCATCAATTCAATCACGTACATGACTCGAAGAACCATTTTCGTTGTTTAGTGTTATTTAATAGTGTAAATTTATTACTTTAGTGTTTTAAAGGACGCTTTGCGCGTCTGGATTTAACGGATTTTTTTTGGATGTTTAATGTAAATGGGGCGCGGAGCCTGAAATAAGTTGAATAAATTTTTAATTTATCCACGAAAATAAATAAAAATGTCTCTAAAACCACCCATAACTCTCTAAAACCACCCATGATTACGTAAAATATATCCTTTATCCCACCAACGCAAACAAAACGCGTAAACAATTTACCAGTCGGGTCAGAGGAGAGACCCCAAAAATGTACAAAAAATGTTAGAAATGAAGCAAATGTTAAAAACAATTGTTTAAATGTGGTAAAGAATTTCATGAAAATTCCAAGGAAAATTTTTAGTTTTGCAGCAGCACGTTCAAAATAGCAATATAAAAAAGATCAAACAAATTCCGATAGAGGAAGAGAATAGAGGAGACGGAGGAGAGCTTAGAGAGCTCTTTAAGGTGATCTATAAGGTGATCTTATGTGTCACTCAACGGACCAGCCTTGAAATTAAAACTTAGCGGCTGTTACCAACAAATAAATAAACATTAAAGTTGGTCAATAAAAGCTAGAGAAATGAAAGTATTTTAATTTAGAAGCTTAGATCAAGTTTGCTAAAAAATCGACATAAAAGTAACAATTGTTTACCAGCCGGAAGCTGTAAAAAGTTAAGTGCTTAAGAAATCCAGTCGATAGCTGGAAGAGAAAGAATCGATTTGAATAAGCTTAGCGAAAGCGAGCAGCTTTTCCAACATGCTTTGAAAGATGCGTGTGGGAGAGATTGGCCGGGGAGGAATATGAGCTGATCTTAAGCTACTATGTTTTTGCTTAATATCTAAACATAAATAAAGTTTACAATTTACAATAGAAAGGAAATTTAAAAACAAAATTAAACTTACAAATTAGGGTTGTTCACCATCAGAAATTAAGCGGTACCCTCGGGGTTCGGCTTAGTTACGGTTATAGTTTTCAAAAGACCCCCGGTCTTCGGTTAGTTAACCGATCGCGAACATCCCTATTACAAACTTTGAAACAAGTTTACAAACTTAGGTTTACTAAAACATGTTCTGCAGAAAAATGTTTCTCTCCTTTTGCCTAAAAACTTGACTGTTTCTGTTTGTTTTAACTAAAGCTATGGACAAAACATACTTCAAAACATGCTTCAAACACATTTATTAAGTTAGTAATTTTGTTGTAAAATAAGTAAAAACATTAAGTTTTTGAAAATATTTGATCTGAGGGATATAAACATTTTTACCAACATAAAAACAATAATAAATATGCGGCTGTTGCAACATCTGTTGAAGTTTGCAGCTTTGTGTTAGCTTTTTGGTTATTTTATGGAAACGATTGTGTTAAGTTTTAATAAAAAAGAATGTTTACAAATAATAAAAATATTATAATTTTTAATATTTATCTTATTATAGGTAATTTTTTAAGAGTAAAAAATTGTAATGGATGTAATAAATTTTTGGGGACAATATTAGAGATCGAGCTGAGCCTGGATCAAGGCCTGGGTTTTTCCTGTACCCAGAGTCCAGGGCCAGGCATTTCTTGACCCTCCTGGGTTTATCATGGGCCTGGGCTTTTCTTGGACTATAGGCACAAGATCCGGCCCAGGTCAGTAAATCAAACCCAAAGTCCAGAAACAGGCCCAGGCTTTTCAAAAATCTCAATCTCTAGGCAATATGTATGTAAAATATAGGGGAATTTTTATTTTTTTTTCAAAATAATATGTACAATATATTTTTGAATTTATATACAATAAATTTCTACGTAATTGTAGCATACTCATATTATTTATTTTTTCAATCAGCCTTTTATTAGAGAGCTAGTAGAACCCTCTTGGTATATTTACATAAATATCCTTCTCCCTCTCAAATCCCTACATACTACCCACCAAAAGCCCTCTGCATTAAGCAAATATCGTTGATCCAAACACGACGTACAATCTCCGATTCCTCAGCATTATCTCGACGAATTCGAAGCAAATAAGTAGGCAAATTTTTGTTTGAATCGTTTGGTGCTACAACGAGAGTTGAAGCTTCTGTTGAGTGTTGTCTAACGGGGCTGTATTCGTTCAACTTTATGATAAAAAGAGAATTTTTTTAAAGTTTTCTTGAATTTTACATTAATAGTAGCATAATGTTTAAACGATATCTCTCCATTAGTTTCTTCCTTGTCTGTGATTATCATTGTATTATTAAGTAAGAATACATATTTATCGCCACAGTCATTATTTTCACCATCCTCCCAAACTTGGAATAATTCCTAAATTAATTTAAGTTACTGTATTTCCTCTAATGTAATGCCCCTCGTCAGTTTACTGCTCATTTATTGGGTTATTCTCTTTGGAAGGTGATTTAAAAATAGCCTCCTCAATCTGAATGCCCTCTCTACTAGAGATCGAGCTGGGTCTGGACCACGGCCTGGGTTTTTCCTGTACCCAGAGTCTAGGCCCATACATTTTTTGACCTTCCTGGTGTTTTTCCTGGCTACTGGCTCCAGGATCCGGCTCAGGTCAATAGATCAAACCCTCAAGCTCTAGCCCTCTCTAATAGAATTCCCCTTATGTAGGTGGTTGGAAAATATAATGCCAGGGCATTCAACTAGAGGAAACAATAAAATAAATTTTAAAAACTCCTTTACATTTCTATAAACACGTCCAATATCACCCGAATATCCAACTATATTTTTGGTAAAATCAGGCCCTTTAGCTCGTTGTTCCAATAATTGAATAAAATTCAATGATAACTTCATCTCTTCAGTACAATTTTCATTTTTATTAATTAATTCCTTTAAATCAAGTATTAAACATGGTCCATCAAAAAATAATTTTTTACCTTAAAGAAATCTTCATAGTATCTCATCCTGGTAGGGATTAACTGTAAATAATCGGCATATGGTTTTAAATTGGTTTGCTTAGATCGGATGTCCTTTAAATTAATTTATTTGAATTTAAAAATTATTTTTAACACCTCCAAAAATTTATTAATATTATCAACATGTTGGCATAATCTTAGAGCATTATCCAATTCCCTCAAGAAGGTTAGATGGATTTCTTCAAAATCTTTCTTTAAAGAATCAAAATTTTTAGCAAAAATGGCTGGATCATCAGAAGATTCTTTAATTGAGTTGAGGAGTTTACTGGAATTGATAAGAGGAGTTATTAGAATTTATTATTAATGTGATAATTAGGGGTTTTCCGAGAAACCCCACTGATAATAATTAATTAAAAAATATGTATATTCGAAAAAATCGTGTCCGGTAGTCTCGTCAGAAGTTAGTTTCGTCAGAGGACATTTTCGTCAGAATCAGTTTCGTCAGAGGCCTTTTTCGTCAGAGAACAGTTTCGTCAGAGGGTTGTTTCGTCAGAGATGAGTTTCGTCAGAGACCCTTTTCGTCAGTAAGGCTCCCTTTTAAAAATTTAATTAAACGGCGGTATTATGACTTATACTAGGTTATTTGTTTCTGGATCGATTTGGACAAATGAGGTGTCATTCGAAAGAGCTCTGAAAAGCTGATTTTTGGGGTGAAAAATTTGATTATACAAATGATAGCTCGTTCGGGTCAGGTCGACAAGCTGCCTCGAGTTTGACGATCTGAGCCTCCCTATGGTTTGTCATGATTCAGGAGTCTGTAACTCGGCCGCGGAATGTCGTATCAACTTCTTCCACAACTAATTCGACTCAGTTTTTAAAGCTCTTTCGAATGACCCCTCATTTGTCCAAATCGATCCAGAAACAAATAACCTAGTATAAGTCATAATACCGCCGTTTAATTAAATTTTTAAAAGGGAGCCTTACTGACGAAAAGGGTCTCTGACGAAACTCATCTCTGACGAAACAACCCTCTGACGAAACTGTTCTCTGACGAAAAAGGCCTCTGACGAAACTGATTCTGACGAAAATGTCCTCTGACGAAACTAACCTCTGACGAAATCACAGAGCACCGAAAAAATAAGTTCCAAAATCTCACTTTGAATGAAAATCATGTAGAGACTCCAAGTTTGAAACAAGCAATTCCTTGCTTCTCTCTTTTACAGTTTGAGGAACACCAGATTCTTCACCTCCTTCATTATCTTCCAACCCTTTACCATAATAATCCAAGGCTAATTTTAATTCTTCAATAAATTCTTCTTCAGTCTTCAACAATTTAGCTACGCTACACCCTTCTCGTTGTAAGGCATAATATTTGGTAGGGGATGTAAAATAAGATCCAGGAACGAAGCCGATAGAAGGAGGCTTGGTCTAAAAAATATTTTTTGTCCATAAAAATTTTTTTGTTAAAAAATTCCTTTCAATTCTACCTTTGTTCTAACCAGCCAAGCATCTGGATTAGCATTATTCAGCACCTCAACACACTGTCCCTCATCCAAACCAAAAGGTTCGTCTTCATCCCCCTCTTCCTCATCTCCCAAATAATCACTCAAAGTGATCACTATCTGATAAGTACGAGGAACATTTTCGACTTTATTATCATTATTATCAGTTTGTTTAGGATTTGAAGTTGTTGCTTTAGTCAGTTCACTTTTTTCTTGAATTTTATTAGGGGTTGTTGTTCCATTAGAAGCTGTTGTTGCCGGTTTTTTAACAATTTTCTTCTTAATTATTTTTGTTTTTGGCTTGGTAGTTTCTGAAGCTTTGCCTTCTTCAGTATTTTTCAAGCTCCCCTCAGGTTTGCTATTTGCACTACTTCCGTTCTCAGTCTTTTTTAAACTTTCATCGATTTTACTGCTCGTTTTACTACTTGAACTAGTACTGTTCTCACTGCTACTGATCCCATTTGTGGATGTTTTCAATGTTGTTTTGGTAACGGGGCGAATATGGGGAGAAGACTTGTATTTTTCCTCTTCAGCTCCGAAGCGTCTTAAAATTATTTTTTGAAATTTTATTTTAGTAAAAACTTAAGATCGGACTAGGTGGGAGTCGTACGAGAGTCGAGATCGATAGCTCGAAATACTCTCTATACAAAAAATCTCAAAAAAAACTAAATTTATCTTACGAGAATCTTGTACTTTTTGGATACACCGCTACTTTGCTTGAGTATGGAGGGAGTCTCAAGCAAGGGTGCGGAGGGAGTCTAACCTAGGGAGGGAGTCTGACCCAATGGACGAATTGAGGATAACTCTGAGATTCAAATTAGGGAGAGAGGAAGGGAGAGGGGAGGGATCCAATTCAATATCCACAAAGTAAGAGATATCTCCAAAAAGGAGGGATCGTAAGAGATATCTCCAAAATCAAGATCAACCTAGATTATTGTTCGGAATCACGGTCCGCTCTTTAGTAAACCCGAATTAAAATTTTATAAAAAAATATTTTTTACTTTAAATTTTCAACTTTTCTTTCAATCTGTCGCTGCTTACGTGAGATCTTGTCCATTATAAATTCTATTCAAAATTTTAATAAATTTAATAAAAATAACGAAAAAAATATTAAAAAACAAAAAAATGAGCTTTTCTAATAATTTTTCTTCGTCTTTAAAGCTTTAACACATTTTTAAGCTTTAACACATTTGGGCAAAAAATAGACATAAATTAGGAACATATGGGGGTAAAACAAGGAAATAGGTTGACAAATAAATTCTTAAAATAATTTTTAAAAATTTAAAATCGTCAAAAATAGGAGGATCTTAAAAAGTAATTTGTCATTTACGTCAAAAGCCGACTTATGTCCTCAAATAGCCGTAGGGCTTGGATCAATGTCCTCAGAGAGGGATCGCGTTAATTCCTGCTTGATGGGATTTTATTTAAAAATTTTTTTATAATCGATGCCTCCCGTTAATCCCTATTTTAATAAATTTTTAAATATATTTTTGTGTTCGTGAATGCATGTGTTCAACAATTTTTAATTTAATCACAACAGATGTTCCATGTATTTTTGACCTCTTTTTTGATTTTTAATATGACAACTGTTGTTAACACTGAAAAGGAACTACTAGTGTTCAATATCTTTATATTTAGATTTATTTAATTTTTTAATTTAATTATGTATGTATGTACAAGGAATTAAGGCTTAAATTACAGGGGGGCAACCCAAGTCCCCTTGCCTCATGCAGGAGGCAACTCAAGTCCCCCTGCTTCGTGCTGGGGGCATAAATTTTGGAGTATCCATGTGCCGAATGTACATGGATCATGGATCGGTACATGAATCGGTCCCTGCTTCGGCGGGAGCATTTAATCTGTTAACTGATGAGTCCATACAAGAAAATGCATGTAAATTTTCACAAGATTAATCTCTCCTACCGGTCTAATACGAGAATATCTAATAGCATTTTTAATATGATACAAGTTTTGCTACCCTAAAAACTATTGCTACGAATTTAATAAAATTTATCAAATTAATTTAATAATTTAATTATAAGGAATTAGAGTTTTCTTTAATGGATATTTCTCCGGCGACGTCTTCTACATCCATATCCTGTGCCTAATTTGATAGAAAATTATTAAAAATTAATTTAAAAAAATTTTATTCTCACAGCCTGTGCAAGTAGGACAACACCTACAGCAACAAGAAGGCCGTACACAAATATTTAATCCACAACCACAGCAACAGGGGCGGCCTAAAGACGGATTTTTTTAATTTTTTGAGCTAATGAGGACTTATAGAGAATTTTTTAAAATTAATTAAAAGCAAAAACCCACAGCAACAACAACCTCCTCCACCACCACAACAGCCACAACAACAAGGCTGGCCTAATTAATAATTTTATTAAACACCTAAAAATAGGATAGCTTACAGCAACAACAACACGGCTGGCAGCAACAACAACAATTACGCCTTGCCCTTTTAATGTCAAACAGGGCAGAATTATTGTCTACAGAACTTTGAATAGGGCAAGGATTTGTAGGGGCGCAACCAAGTTCTGGAGGGACCGGCAATATTGGTGAAAGGGCTGGAATGATTTTAAGCTATTTAAAAGTCTTGTAAAATACCCAAGAGGGCTGCGGGGAGTTTTAAACTTCTCCCAGTTTGTTGAGGAGGAAAACAGGTTGATTGGCAATTTGGCAAGGCCAATAGGTGTTTGCCTATATTTTGTGAAGCGATAAGAAAACCACTAGAAGGTTGGGGTGTTTGACTGAGTTGAACGATTTGAACAGGGAATGCCTTCCCAAATCCATTGAAAAATTCAATTTTGTAAAGGAAAATGAGCAGGATTTGGGTAAATTTGAATAAAGAATAGGTTAAAGACATTATTATTTTTATTCAGAAAAATTTTCTGAAAATTTTTAGAAAATTTTTGATTAATAAATAAGGTTGTCCAAAATATCCACTGAAAATAGTCGATATTGTGTATAGTATAAGTATCGAGGAATCTCAAAATAGGGCCTAGATATGCATAAAGAACCGTGTCCTAAAAGGTTCGGGCCAACGTATTTTTTGAACCTCTCACTTCAATGACTTCATGCATTTGCATGCTTTGGACAATCCTAGGAATAAATATAATGGTAATTGCTCGATTCCTTAGGGCCTCTATGGTGAGGCAGGTATGGTTAATGGTACCATGTATTAATTAAAATTTTAGAAAGGAGGAAAATTATTATTTATTTAACTCCTAAATAAATTTAAAAGTGTGTCATTAATATCGGTTGTCAACCATTTTTAAATGAAAATTTTTTTAGACATCCTTAAATTGATGCCAACCAATCCTTTATTTTGCCCATTTTATTCTTCTTTGTGTGCTTATTAATTGTTTTAATTTCTGCGCAGCAAAATTTGTTTTTGTTTATTGTTAATTAAAGAAAGAGAATTTACAAAAAAATACCCAAGTCTTTATAATAAAGAAAGTAAATTATTAGGACAATTGTTGTTTTTGTTTCTAAACATCGATAAAAAAAATTTTTTTTATTAATCCTCATATATTAGTATTACAAATTTTGAACATAAATGATGCGAATTTCTTGATTATCTCTCTAGAGAATCCCCAGTGTTGTTTGCAAAAAGTTATCATAGTTCGAATAATGGAAATAATTATCAAGTGTTATCCTTTCATATGTGCTACTCGAAGTGGTCTATTACGATAAATCCAAATCTGATTTGGATGATCAATAGCTCATTCGAAAGAGCATCGTTTAATGTATTAGAAAGTAAAGTTGCTTAGCTCTCTCTCAGCTCAAAGCCTGTTAAAAAATTGCAATGCATGAACTAAATAAGAGGTATTAATGTTGACTCACTCAAAGTGAAGTATCTTCACTTTATTCATGTGCAATCTGAAAATAATATATGTCACTCGAATATGCACCATTTACTGTATCTAAAACCGTTGTGCAGAAGTGCATGGATTACTCGAAAGATGCCTGAACTAAATAAGGGGTATTGTTCAGTGAGCACACTCAAGGTGCCAGTCAAGTCTTTTGGCAATCAAGGTTACTAGATGACATTCGGAAGATTAGAAAATGCATAAAAAACGTTTGGGCGAGTTGCTTTAGATCACTTAACAGAAAGTTTCAATACAGGGATTTTCAATCGAATTATAAAAATTTTAATTAAAATTTTATCACAATAGGAATATTTAAATTGTATTTTATAATTTATTTAATAATTTAAAATATATAAAAATATCTTATTTAATTCTTTGAAAAATATTTCATTGTCCTTTCATCTTCATTAAAATTGGAGGTGTTGGAAGAACATCTACCATCTTTATTGTTGTAGCATTGCAACCATTGCGTCGATGACGTTTACAGCCGCAACAGTCTTAAGGAATAAAAATTTTTTGAAAAATTTTTCAAAAAATTTACTGCAGCAACAACAAGGCCTACAACAGCAGCAGCAACATGGTCTGCAGCAACAGCAGCAAGGCCTGCAGCAACAACAACAGCAAGGTTTGCAACAGCAACAGCAGCATGGTTTACAACAACAGCAACAACACGGCCTCAAAAATGAATTTGAGTTGAAAAGAATCTAAGTAAAAATACCTGCAGCAACAACAATCACAGCAACAACAACGTTCGCCTCTTCCTTTCAAAGCTGCCGTTGTTGGCTTTGCGATAGCGTTATTGGCTTAATTTGAAAAGTGATTTTTAAATTCAGGAGGATTCAAGAGCTCCTACCTGTACAATTTCCAATTTGTGGAGGGTAGCGCAATTTTGATACGAGGGCCTTATTTGTGTCACTTAAGGAACTATCCTTCGGACAAGGAGGACATTTTTGTAGTTTTTGTGTTGAAATAACTGTGTTGATATTATGAGGAGGTGAAGGAGGAGAATATGCAACTACAGGTGAAGGAGCACAATGTGAAATCATTACAAATTGAGAGAATAGAAAATATATGGAGAAAGTTGTATAAATAATGCTGGAGGTCACCATTGCTACAACACTCCTCTTTTACTAAATATGTGTGTATTAAGGTAAAGGTTTCCGGAAATTATTAAGTTTTTAAGTTTGTAATTGTTCCTGAAAACTTAAATATTATACACAAACTTAAGTTTCCGGAAAACTTGGGGTCCGGAAACTTAATATATACCTAATTCCTGAGGTCTAAGTTTGTAATGTTTCCGGTAACTTAATTATTAGTCACAAACTTACTTTTTCGGAAAACTTAACTATTATACGCAAACCTAAGTTTCCGGAAAACTTGAGTTCTGCTTTTGTAATAGATCCGGTAACTTAATATATAATTCCTGAGGTCTAAGCTTGCAATGTTTCCGGAAACTTAATTATTCACAAACTTACTTTTCCGGAAAACTTAATATACTTGTACTATATAATACTTTAGTGTTTCCGGAAAACTTAAAATATTATTCTCACTAAAAAATAAAAAATGATTTCAAGATTTAAAAATCAAATGAGAATATAGTCCAAAATTGAGGATTTAAATGATTTATTTCAATGTTTGTTCTTTAAAACAATTAATAAATAAACGTGCAACTTCCAGAACTGGGTCGTCTTCACGTTGTTTTTGTTTCATTGTCTAAATAAAGTTTTGTTGTTATCCTTTTACAATGATCATTTTTGTTTGTTGTTTTTGTTCTGATTTTTCATATAAATTAATTAAAAATGGCAAAAAAAATCAACAAAAATTCTCGTCATTTTTATTGTCTTGACAATTTCGTGAATAATATATTAATTAACAATCCCCCAAAATTTCTTAAAAAAATTTTCGCACATTTTTCTTTATTAGAATATTTTTTGTTGTTCATTGTTCTTGAATATTACGCTAAGTAAATAAATACTTGACGAGAAAAAAATATTAAAAATAAAATGTTTTTATTTTATAAGTAATCGGATTTCCGGAAATTAAGTTTGTAATCTTTCCGGAAAACTTTTAAGTTTAAACTTAAGATTATGTTTTCCGGAAAACTTGTATAAATTAAGTTTAAACTCAAAATTGAAAACTCTGAGAAACTTAACTTAAGTTTAAGCTTGAGTTTGAAATACTTTATTAACTTAAGTTCAAACTTGCACGCATATTACATTGTTTAATTCACAAATTTTAGAAATAACCAAGTTTCCCAATAAAATTTCAAGTTTGTAAAAATAAGTTTACAAACATGTCGGGTTTTAAATTTAAGATTAAGCTTTAAAATAATCATTTTATTAATTTTTATTTTTGTAGCAACTTAACAAATCAAAAAAGGGCGAACCTGCATATCGATGTTTTGCGATAACATAAAAACACCGATGTGCAAACGATTCGTCCTTTGTTTGACTGTTGCAAGATTTTTTAAATTTTTTCAAAAATTTTAATTTAGAAATTTAATAAAAATATTAAAAATTTTCCTCTCAGTTTAAAAATAAATTTTAAAAATAAATAATAATTGTTAAAGGCAATAAATTCGTCTCTAATATTTTTCTTCTTTAATAATTTGATCTTTGCGCAGCTGTCATTTAAATAATAAAGACATACTCATTTTTAAAAATTAATGTAAAATGGAGAAAATATTAGAAAAAAATAATTTATAATTTTAATTATTCATATTTTCTTACATTTTTTGATTTTTTTGATTTTTTATGTTCATTCTAAATAAAAATAAAATAGCTAATCTAAAGCTATTTATGCAAATTTTTCAAGTGAATAGAGGTAAAAAGTGTTAGAGGAAGGTGAATGTTAATGCTAGGGATTTTTAAGAATCTGTCTAGGAAAATGGAATTTAAGAGAAATTTTTTTGTAAAATTTAAACCTTTAAAAAGGGGACTAATAAAGAGTTAATATAAAGGGGCTATTCGGGCTAGTGTTGTTTCCCTCCCTCCCCTCCTAGACTGGTGCTGCTGCTAAAATTTTTTTTAAAGAAGAAAAAAAAGAGGAAGAGGACAACAACAACCATTTTATATATAAAATATACTAATACACACATTAATTTCGAAATGATTCCAAAATGGTTTTATTGTCAAAAGGAAAGAAAAATGTGCAATTTGGGGTGCGCGGGATATGAGGCATTTGAACTGAAGGAAAAAATTTTTTGGAAAGAAAATTGGAGGACGCTTTTAAGAGGAAAGGGAGGAGGGAGAGGATTTTGGAGTGAATGAGAGAAAAACGGAACGTTTTTGAAGAGGGGAAATGATCTTTCTTTTTTTATTCTTTTTGACCCTCTCCATTTTTTATTTGAAAGAAGCAAACCAACACCTTTTTAAAAAATTTTTTTTGAAAAGAGTAATGGCCGTTGTTTTTGTTTTGTTGTTTTTGGTGTTCAATAGAAGGGAGGAATTTGGAAAATAAAAAATTTTTGAGAGAAATAACTCCAACTGGTTGCTAAGAATTTAAATTGAGGGGTGGAAAGTTGAAGAATTTCAGGCCTAGTGCAGTTTCCCTCCCTTTGAAAAATAAAACTTATGTCCATGGCACAAGAACTGAATCTCGGCGTTCAAAATTTTGGGCTTTAATTATTCTCGAAAAATTTTTCTCGAATTTTTCCTAATTTTTGGATATGCAAGAAATGAGTTTATAATAAAAGATATTAACTACATACATAAATAGCATAAATATATAAAATAAAAAGGGCATAAACCAAAAAAGAGAGAAAAGGGGGTAAATAACAACATTTAGAACAACGAAACAACAACAAAAAGTGTCAATTTTATTCTCAACTAGAGGAATGACCAAATGATTGATGTTGGGAGGATATATCTGTTCTTGTCTCTTTTTTAGTCTCTCGTGGGGGTTTTTTAATGTTTTGTTGTTGTCGCTAAAAATGTGAGAAGAACGCGCAGGGAAAGGTTAATGCTCTCTTGTTGTCTCAGAAATTTTATGCTATGTACCTCTTTCAAGGGCCGGATTTATGGGGAAGAAATTTGTGATTAATCTTGAAAGGTTATTAATTCTCAATAGACTTGAAACTTGAGCATTGCTTATAGGATAAGATGCAGTCTTACCTTCATATTAATATCCAATTTACTCCCCAAAAATCAAGGACATTTAAAATCAACCTCAACCGAAATTCCAAAAACAAAACACTCATTTTATTTTTATTAAAAAATTTTTTCAATAAAATTTTATACAAATATTTTATAAATTATACATATCAACAAAAAAATTAAAACCTAATAGTTTTTAAAAATATTTTATTAAAAGAATTATTACTTAAACAAGAATTGGATAGCGATATACCCATTTAGAAGGAAAAAAATAGAAAATAATATATGTACATACAGCATATGAAAGAGATCGGACCGAGACAAGATCTCGATCAAAAATCATGGTTTTTTCGAGATATCTCGAACGATTCTCATACAACCTCCAAGTCCAATCTCTAGTATATACTCTATTAATTACTCTTTAAATAATTACCCTCTATAGCAAGACGTTGATAAAACTATCAATTATTATTCTGGTTAATTAATAGAGTGAATTAGTAATTAAAAAATACATCGAAAAATATTACTAAAACCCCCAAAAAGAATTTAACATTAATTCATTAAAAAATTATTTTCACACAAATAAAATTTTATTTGGATTGTTGATGAACCACTTGAAGACGTTTAACAGGAGCAACAATAGGGAAAGAAGTAGCACGATTTTGGGAAGCACAAGAAGCCGCTGTAGGTAACGGCAATCTTTGATGGTAAAATTCTTCGGCTTTAAAGTGTTTAGAATAGCAATAATAATGCCAAACTAAGCTTTGTCCCATCCAATGAATACACAAAAGCAAGAGGAGGGCTAATTCTAATTGACGAACTTCTGAGTTTGTTAAATTGTAGTAGGAAAGAGTTGAAGAAAATTGGGGATATTCTTCTTTCTTGATAAAGCCATTAAACAATTGTGGTCGGATATCTAATAATAAAACTGTACAGAAGAAGATGGCCAGAGCGATAATTGTGACACCCTTAAAAGGAAAATGAATGTTAGTATTGATATATATTTTTGATTAAATTTTTGGAATTGGATGGGTTCTAAACTAAAGTTCCTAATGTTCCTCAACAAAGGTATGCCGAAATTAGCTTTAAAAAGCGAAGGACGAACTGCAAAACTCCGATCTTAGTTTTAGATCGAAATGCAAATCCAAAAAACCCGAAAATCGGTGAGGTTAAGTTGGCACAACCCCTGCTCTGTAAGATGTCAAAAACCTTATGTCAAGGGTCTTGATCTTGAAGTTCAGTCTTAGTCATTCAGCTACCCTCGGAAGGGTTCATTTTAATTATTAAATGATTATTAAATAAAATTGGTTACGTTAATAACAAGGTATATCAAACAATAAGAAGGTTTTCCAGCCAAATTTGAATAAAAAAGTGCCAAAGCTGCAAATATGTGAAAGAGTGCAGGAGTGCCAAAACTCCAAAATTGATCAAAAGATAAAGATATAATAAACAAAAACATATTTATTAATAAAAGTCCAAATGCAAAACTAAGTGCGAAACGCTTAAAAATTTTTTTTGAATTTTTTTAAATTTTTTAAACCTCGGTTCGTGCAGTGAAACAGCCAAGGGAATAAAGCTTTAAAATTGTTTATAAAAATAATTATCGAAAATAAACTTAAGTTTGTAAAATTAACCTCATAATATTTAAATTGTGCCATTGTATCAGTTAAGTTCACTTGTGAATTATTTGTTTGTAGCCTTTAAAAATATTTTAGATTGTAAAATTATAATTAAATTTATTTAATTTCCGGAAAATAAATAAGGCAACTTTTCGTAAAGTAATTAAGTTTACAATTTAATAAATTTCCAACTTATGTAAGTTTACGATTTCCGGAAGTAATATTAAAGATATTAAATAGTTTCCGGAAAATTATTAAGTTACGAAATTAAGATCAAGTTTACAATTCAGGGAGGAATAGTACTTAAGTTTCCGGAAACTAAGACACCTTCCGGAAAATTTAAATTTGTAATTAAAGAAGAAATTTAAGTTTGCAATTTCCGGAAGGAATATTAAGTTTATTAAATATGTAGTCTTCGGAAAATTAATGTTTGAACTTAAGAACAATTCCGGAAGGAATATAACTTAAGTATCCGGAAAATAAAACACCTTCCGGAAAACTCAAGTTTATGATTTCCGAATAAATTCAAGTTTGCAATTTCCGGAAGGAATATTAATTTTATTAAATTACAAATTAACTCAAGTTTATTTAAAAATTGTAAACTTGAAAAAAGGTTTGAACTTTAAAAGTAAAACTGAACAAAAAGTAAAAATACAATTTAAAGTATAAACTTGAAATTACGAGATATCTAATAAAATTAAGCCTAGACACACACACCTACATATTTTAACGTCCTTTTGCTTCCACGTACGCGCCTTCCGTTCGCTTTTCCCTCCCTCAAAAAATATAATAAAATAATATAAATTAATATGAGAAACAATTATATTTTATTTTAAAGGCTTTTTTCCTTTCCGGCTTTATGTAAAGACTTGAAGGGAGCGCTTAAAAATTTTCTGTTGAATCACACAGCTATGTAAACCTTAAAAGGGAGGGAAAAGCAAGAACGTTATTTAATGAGGAAAATGGCTTGAAAATGAGGATGATGAATTAAATTTTTTGATAGATTTTGGGATGAAATATATAATTATTTTTATCATAAATATTATTTAACAAATATTATTGATAAATAAATAAATATTATCGATAATAATAAACACTTTGAATAAATATTTTCTGGAATGACGTTAAGTATGTCGGTATGGAATAACTTTGGCGGTTCCTAGGAAATCTCCAAATATCCGGATCTGTTATTCAGATCAAAATTTAACTGTTTCCGAAATTTTGGATGTCCGCAATTTATTCGGATCAGGATATCATAATCCGCAAACCCATTTATGGAAACTCTCTACAATACTAATATAGGCTAAAGGTTGGATCCGTTATCCAAACCGAAAACTCACTTTAAAAATCGAACTGGCACCCTTCAAAATCTCAAAATTATTTCTTATCTACACTGATGATAAAAAAATGTTAGGACTAAAAATAAACTTCACAGCTATATTGAAGCTTAGATCATGCCCTAACACGATATCGTTGTTTCGTATGGCCCTTTTCCAGAACTTTATAAGATTATAGAGGTCCTCTAACTGACCTCATAATCCCACAAAATTATTAAATAAAAGTTCAAGTTTAAATTTTATTTTAATTTGTGTCAATTTATACATATATACAGATATATAAAAATTAAATATATAAAAATTAAAAGGTTTTTAACATTATAAAATGAATAAATTCAAACAAGAAAAACGTAGGTATATAAACATTAATATAGTTGACTCATTGCACTTTAATTTTTTTAAATCATGAATGAATGAATCCCTCTTTATAAAAATTATTTTATAAAGTGCTTTAAATTATAAAATTATTTTCTACAGAATTTATAAAAATTTAAAAAAAATTTTTTTAATATTTATAGGTATATTCATTCAATTTTCAGTGTTTTTAGTCTAGTTTTTTGACCACAACTTTTTGTCCTTACAATTAGAATTTTTAAAATTTGGCATTTTTATAGCTAATTTAATCCTCTATCGAATGATATCAAATTTGCTTAAAAATGCTGAGGGATTCAAGAGTTATTAAATAAAAACTAAGGTGTGTCCATGAGTCAAACATGTTGAACATGAGTAAATCAAATTAATTTTAAATTAGAAAAAAAAGATCAAAATTGTGGATAAATAATTAAAATATTAAAAAATTAATAAAAAAAAAAGATTTAAAATATTAAATAAAAAAATTTTTAAAGAAATATTCCCCTAAACATGATATCCCCCTCCTCCACCTCCATGCTGCCGTTCTCTCAATAATCTTTCCCTTAGCATAAAACTTGAAGCATTATACACCACCAATTCAAACCAAATATTTAATACTTGGATTACCAGCATTATACAAGCTATAATTCCTGTGACTACTCGAGGGTATTCTAAAAAATTTTTTTGAATATTTTAAAATCAAAAAAAATTTTACGATGTGTAGTTTCATGAAATTTATAGTCAGTCAATTCGTTGACTTGTCTTTCCCAAAATTCTGGATTTACTAACAGCATTGTGAACAATACCAAAATGTAAATGGATCCAATACCTACTGCAATACCCTATTAATTTTAATAATTTTAAATTTTTAATTCAAGGCCAAGTAACTCTCGATAAATATCCTCTCTCACTTTCCTACATTTCAGTAGGGTTGTCTATGTGTAGGTCTTGGGATTTGAGTTAAAGGATAAAAGGGTTGGGGCAGGGAAGGCCGAGAGGAAAGTCGGGTCGAGGCTTAGAGTTCGTCAGATCGTTTTCAGGCTTAGAGTTCGTCCAGGTCGGGTATTGTAGTGCTTTGGGTGACGCAGCCTAACCCTCGATCGGGTAATTCCTATCAGAAAATCAGTTTCAAATTGAAAAAGGAAAAGCCTAGAAGACTCGAAGAAATAGAGTTCAGAGACTTGTAATATGTAAAACCTAAAGGTCAGGTTCCGAAATTAAAAATTACAAACATTCGTGATTAAAAACGGCCAATAAATCTTAGCATTCCGGCTGTAAAAAGCATAAAAAATAGATGCATATGCAAAACAAAAAATTACAGGCAAAACAATTAAACCCCAACGGCCATATAATAAACAAATAATAAAAAAACAAAGGGAGAGGAAAACACCAATTCCTCCAATAATATTTGCGCCCATCTAAAATTTTTTTTTAATTTTATTTTTAAATTTAATTTTAATTCGAACCGCCACATGAATAGCACAACAACAACGATTTCTGGGGTCCTCGTAAAGCATAATAGGTGCTATACCGTTTTTACGATTTATTGTTGACACTGATATTTTTTAGTATATTTTAATCTAAAATTTTATTAAGAATTATTTTTTAAATTAAAAAAAGAAAAATGATTAAATAAAAAATGTAATATTAAGTAAAAATTGGATATATAAAAATAGAAAAAATAATTATAATAAAAAAATTTTTCTTTCCAATTTTTCTCAAAAGGGCTATAAAATGACAGCAACTTGAGAAAATTAAAATAAAATTATAAAAAAATGCTTTAACGTTTTTAAAACTTTTTGAGAAAACCTAAATATAGGCTTATGCTCCAACAACTATGTGTAGTTGGTTTTTCACCTATAGCTTTTTTTAATTTTTAATCAAATTTTTTTATTTAAAATTTATTTTGTAGCTAATTAAATTCCCTATCCAAAAATCTTAAAATTATCTTTAAAGCTTTATTGGCTCAAAAGATATGAATTTTAGCAGTAGGCTCTTAAAATAGACTATTGCCCAGTAAGCTATAGTTTTTTGACCATAACTTTTTTAATCTCTAATCAAATTTTTTCATTCAAAGTTCATCTCTTAGCTAATTAAATTCTCTATCCAAAAATTATTAAATTATCTTTAAAGCTTTACTGGTTCTAAAGATATGAATTTTAGCAGTAGGCTCTAAAAATAAACTTTTGCTCAGTAAACTATAGTTTTTTGACCATAACTTTCTTAATTTTTAATCAAATTTATTCATTTAAAGCTCATTTTATAGCTAATTAAATTCTCTATCCAACGATATCAAAATTATCTTTAAAGCTTTATTGGTTCTAAAGATATGAATTTTAGAAGGAAGCTGGTTCTGCTACCCATTTGTCGATTTTTATAAAATGTACCATTTAAATTGTCGCCGAGGGAATAAGCAAAATATTAGTAGGATAAAAAAGAATAACAATAATAAATATAAAATAAACTTACTAGAAAGAGAAGGATATTTTTTCAAGCATTTATTTATTTTTTACGGGTCGTCTGACAACAAAAAGCAAGTAAACAGGGACAAAAAAGGAGATGACACGAGTTAAAAAGGGAGGAAAAACAAATAATATCGAGAATAAATAGAAGAAAATTTAATAGAATTAAATTTCTTAAAATTAATTAGTTTAAAAATAAATGAGGCTAATTAAAGAGACAAAATGTGGAGAATGAGAGAATACCGTAATCTTTGAAGGAAGAGAGGAATTAATTAGAACTTTGAGATTTAATCTTGTGCTGGCCTAGTAGCTTAGTGGGTAAGGTGCGGGCACGGATTTTTTTATGTCGTGGGTTCGAACCCCGGTTGGGTTATTAATTGTTTTTGGCCTTTTTAAAATTAAAGCTAGTCATTTATTGTCATTTAAAAGCATAACTTGATAAAAATAAATTTTTGGAAGGTAAGCAATGACCTAGAATGTTATAAATTGACTAGAATAGTACATAAATGTGGGCACGAAACCTCTTAGCATTTATTTTTTGTGGACGTTGGCTGTCTTTAGTAATATTCCCTAGTAGTAAAAGCACTCAATGGCCGCTTCTTCTCAAGAATGGAAGAGAATAAATATTTTATTTAGAAAATATCTAAATGTTCCAAAGGCATGGGACAAAATTTCTCTAACGTTTTTAAGGGAGTAAATAAGAGAATTTAAACTTTTAAAGTTTCAAAATTTAAAAAGAATGAGTTGGCTTGTGATAAAACTTTTGGGAGAACATTAAAAAAAAACTCCTATTTGGCTACTAAATATATTTTTTAGCCAATTTTTTAAAAGAGAAATTTTAAAAAAGAGAAAAATGGACAAATGCGTCAGCTGTTGAAAAATGTTTTTTCTATGAGAGAGCCAGGAAAAAAACGTTTGGATGTGAGATAAGGATAGAGAGAGGGAGATAAATTTTTTGGAAGGATAAGAAAAAAATATGAAGGAAAAAATAAAGGGAAGTAAGGAAATGGAAAAATAGGGAAAAAATAAAGTAAATAGAGAACATGATTGAGAGTCCCAGACTAGGGGTGGATTAAAGCTCATAATTCATTTAAAAGGCCATATTTTTCAAAAGATTTTGATTTTATTTGATAGAGAATTAAATTTTTTATAAAATTATTGAGGAAATAAAATTTTAGAAGAATAAACAGGAAGGAAATATTTAATAAATTAATTAGGGGATTAAAGTTTAGTGAGATAATGGGTCTAGTTTTTTGGCCCTAGCTTCTTTTTTGTCCCTAGAATTTTTTTCCTTTTTCAAGGTTTTGTAGCAAATTTAATTCTCTATCAAACAAAGCAAAAATGACGTCAAAAGGTTAATCCAACCATGAGTTATGATTGAAAGACTCAAGTGTGTTTCTAGTCTTGGGCAGCTTCTTAAGGGCAGACTAGGTTCTATTAAGAGTGTACTGGGAGACTTGGCCAATGTTGTCGTAATGCTTTTGTTATGTTTTATAAAAATAAAAAATGGCCTAAAGATGTTGGAAAAACTGAACGTACTCCAAGGGCATTTTAAATTTAATTGAAAGGAAATTAAGTTTTAATAAAGTTGGATCTTTTCAGTATACTGTATTTAAAATTTAAAATTTTAAAAATTCTCTCCATTGTTTCATTTTTATTAAATTATTTAAAGCCTTTTTCTAATATATTTTTGCTTTTTAGGTATTGTTAAAAGATTAAAAATAATATTTTTATTAACCTTATTATACCATATAGGTAAATAAAGCATACTAACACAAGCACATACATAACAGCTCACCACGTGTATTTCTTATTCATCCCCCCCTCCCTACAAAGTCAAAAGTTTATTATTTATTTTCAGTTCTTTGAATTTAAAATTTTAATTTCTTTAAATCAAGCTTTATATGGATAAAATCAGATAAAGTCCCCCGAGTAGGCTTTTAGTCAATTTAACTGTCACCTTTTCATTTAGATTAACCAGAAGCCTTTTATTCCAGACTTGGTAATGGACATGGACTTTGGTATCTGGCAGGGAGTCTGCCGTCCCGATTCCCGAAAATCGGGAATTCCAGATCTTTTTTTAGGTAGGGATCCCGATTTCCCGAAATCAGCAATTTTGGTTTTTTGTCGACAGGATCCCAGGTATCCGGATATTTACGGCGGATACGGGCGGACATCCGCAGGCATTTTGAAATCCGCAGGCATTTTGAAATTATCTGTATCCATATCATTATCCATCACCATTCACTGTAGAAGAAGCAAGTTTAAAATTTTCATTTCTAGACTCAACTGGCCCTCACAAAAAAAGATGAGTTGCAAAGTTGGTTAGAGAAGCTAGCCTTCCTCTCCATTCTCTCTCATTCTTCTAACTTCTATTATTTAATGCTAGTATGCCGTCATATATTTCAAAAGCTGCTGTAATATTGGAAAAGCACAGTCATTTTCGCGTAGCTATATCCCCCCTTTTTCTTTTAAAAAATTTATTTAGTGTGCCTTATTTTGAAAAATTTAGATGGTGTCTGCCTTTTCATTTTTACTATATTTTTATACAAACTCAGCTTCTTTTTTTATCAATATTCACCAGAAAAAAAAATTTCTTCAACAAAAAACCCAATAAATAAAACCTTGAAACAAGCCAAAATTTTTGTTCTTTATTATTGACAGACGGGCTGTTTGAGTCTGGAGATTTTTTAAATTTTTCTTTTCTTTGTCATTTTTGGTCATTTTTGATTATTACTAGAGAGCGGACTGAGAGTGTCGCATGAGAACCGTACAAGATATCTCGAAAAATCTCCATCTCGACCATCGAGATTTTCTTCGAGATTTGGTCTTAATCCTGTCTCTAGTCTTAGATAGGGTTGTCGGTTCTTAGAAAATCTTCGGACGGAACTGAACCGAAAAATCTCGATTCTTCGGTTCCGGACCGACAACCCTAATCTTATACTTATTTTTAATTTCTTTTAAATATTCTTCTTCCTTTTCATTTTTAGTTATTTTTCATCACATTATTACCCTTTTATTTATCACATGCTACCAATTAATTAGTTAATTAATTAGTTAATTTTATTACCCTTAACTTTTCCTTCCTTTTTTTTAATTTAATTAATCTAGCAGAATTTTTTAATTAATAAAAATAAAATTAAAAAAAAATTATTTTTCCAAAAATTGACTAAAAATCGTAAATCGATTTTATTATTTACCCATTCATCAGCAAAAAAAACTTTTTTTTGAAAATTTTATTTTGTTAAGGCAATAAATAAACATTAAAAAAGACAACAGAAAGAGTCGGGGGGGGGGGGGGATTATCTCTCTCCCCACATAATTTTTTTTCTCTTTTTTCAATCCCCATTCTCTCTCCCTTTTTTCAATTCTTTTGTCACATTTTTCTCTGCTTTTAATTTAAACATCCTTGACATTTGACTATCCAACTATGCTTTTCCCATCATTTTTTTTTCATTTTTGTTTTTAAATGTTTAGATTAATAAAGGAGATTATTTGATGAAGTTATCAAAAAATTAAACAACAAATTTCCCATTATTTTTTTACATTGGATCTTCGTGTTTGTTAACGTGTCACGTTTATTTTTAAGCTCGATATACCCATATCTCTTCCTATAATTACAATAAAATGTTTTTATGTTTATCGGCCTCCAGTCAGTGTTACTACACATGTCACGTTGTTAAGACTAGAAACTGTACCGAGACGAGATCTCGATCGAAAATCTCGGTTATCTAGATCCCAGTCCGGTCTTTTTTTCTTCTTTTTTTACTCTTAGTCTGGTCTTTTTAGAGAGACTCCCAGTCCGGTCTTTAGTTAAAACAAATAATTAAAGATTAAGAAAGATACCACTTCAAAATCTCCCAGTTTATCTCTTCCAATATTTACATAAAAATTGTTGAAGATATTTTATGCCATTTTTCTTAAAATATTTTAATTTAGTCACATTATTTATTCATTTTTAACAACAATCTTTCTGTTAAAGATTTCAGTTAAATCGAAACGAGTTTAAATATAAATCCGCTTTTTAAATATCTAAAGCTACTTGAGAATTCTTTTAGTAAGCTTTCCTTAAACTTAAGTTTTTAAGTTTATAAACTTAAGTTTTTAAGTGTCTAAAACTTTGTTTAATTAAATTACAAAGTTTGCGCACTTAAGTTCAACCTCTCTTCGTCATTTTAATTTTCTCAAACTTTAATTTGTAAAATAATACAAACTTAAGTAAACATTCTTTAAGTTTGTACTTTCCTTATTTAACAATTTCATTTTAAGTTTGGAAAATTAAATACCTGGTACTACCACCCTTACAAATTAATTTATATAAATAATTTATTCGGTAAAGTGCAAGGTTGTAAAGGTTCGGCTAAAGATTATTAAATAGTAAAAATTCTTAGTCGTATATTTAATTGAAAAAAATTTTTCTTTACACAAATCCTTTATATAAACAACAATAATTCTTTTGTCTTTATATTAATTTAATTTAAAAAAATGTTTCAAGAATTTTTTTAAATTTTAATTAATGTCTCGTCTATTTAGTCAACTATTTAATCAACTAAAATTTCCTCCACTTCTCCCTTTCTCTCATTAATTTAATTTAATTCTTAATTCCTTCAACTACCAACAAAAAAAATTTAAAAATTTTACTTGCGTAATTTTTTGTTTATTTTAATTTTATTATAGTGATTGATTGAAAGAACGTGCTCTCGTAATGTCGAGAGTCTAGTTTGAACCCTTTTAATTGCAATAAAAATTTTAGAAGAATATAATTTAGAATAAACAGTTGGCAAACTTAAGTTTAAACAGATAAACTTAAAAACTTAAGTTTTTGACTTAAAAACAAGTTTTAATAATAAACTTAAGTTTATTAAGTTCAAGCTTATAAATTTAAGTTTTATTAATTTAAACATTGCAAAACTTAAGTTTTCAAGTTTTTTTTGATAAGTTTATAAACTTAAGTTTTCAACTTAAAAACAAGTTTTATTAACCTGAACATTACAAAACTTAAGTTTTTAAGTTTTCAGGTTTTTATTTTTCAAGTTTGTAAACTTGTTTTGTGTTTTTTCATAAATGACTATAAAACACATATTTTGTATTTTTGATACTCAAAAACACAAACAAACACAAAACATTAATTACAATACTTTCAACTTTATTTTTACAATTATACATTTTTAAATATACAGCCCCAAAAATATATTTTTAGTAGTCAGCTGTCTCAAGTAAACAGCCGTCTGCACGTTAAAATCAAAAGTCTAACGCTAAATTTTTATAAATTTAAAGTACATTTATGAGACGTAAATATTTTTTAATGAATTATTATTTTTTTAATTTATTATTCTTTTAATTTTAGAAAATTAAAAATTTTTAATTTTGGATGTTCACACTCCATTTCTCCGTTTCTGTTCCTTTTCCCATATTTGACGACCAATTTGTTTTTGTGACTGGATCGCATGAAAGCCTTGGATCTTGGAATACTCATAGAGCTTTACGTTTGGAGAAAGACGATGAAAAGTGAGAAAATTAATTTTTAAAATTAAATTTTAAATTTTTTTCTAGTCATTGGACTGGAATAACAAATTTGAGCGTGGATACAGTCAAATTCCGGTATTTTATTGGCAATTATCTTCAGTCGGATGCAACAAAGGACCCAGTACTGGTTATTTCTAAATGGGAAGCGCATTTTACACCTGTAAGCTTTTTAAGATAATAAAGATTGCAAACTTGATAACAAATAAAGTTTTAAACTTAAGTTTATATATTTTTAAGTATCTTCAAGTTTTAAAGTTTAAGGAGTTAAGTTTGCACTCTTAAAAACTTAAGTTTTTATTATAAATTTAAGTTCTTAAGCTTTAAGTTGTTTAGTTTCCGGAAACTTAAGTTTATAAAAATTAGGTTTTCTTATAAACTTAAGTTTAGATTAAGCCCTAAAACTTAATTATACTTTGCAAACTCAAAAATAACCCTAACACTCAATAATTATTTAGCGGTGTGTAATGCCACCAGTTGAAGCAAGCAAAAGTGGCGTTTGCCGTGCCAATTTACGCGATGTTTTTGGGTACAATTCGGGGAGTGAACAGATTAGTGACAGCTTTGTTTTGGGTGATGATGTACATCATATTGCTTTAACTGTTTCTGGTGCTGCTCTAAAATTTTACAAGAAAAAGCATGAGCAACAAAATTATCGGGTCAAAATTGTGCCTTTTGACCTCAGGAATAAATTTGTGAGGATCTTTTTTGGAATTTGGGGGTTGGATAGGGGAGACTTTTGGGTTGGGGTTTGGTTCTCTTGTTTTAGAGGCCCTTGTTTCCTTTTGGACCTGGTTTTCTCCCAGCAGTTTCGGGACTGCTTCAGGGTGGATGGGTTCTTTGGTTTCTGAATGTTTCTGATGGTTTCTGAATGGGCTATCCATAGAAGATAATATATTCTTTAGGACATGACCAACCTCGACGACGATGAAGAACTCAATGCTGAAGATGAAACTCCGTTGCCGTCATTGCCTAGCCATTCCTGCACAGAGATTGCCGTAAGACCTAAACAACATCAGAGAATGGCGCCTTCTCTCATTTTTATTTTTAGGCCTAAAATTTCTCTCATAATTTCTTCTATTTTTATCATCCTTTAAAAATCATTATTTGATCTTTATTTCTCTCTCTTTTATCTTAAAAGTAGAAGCTCTGTAGAATAGACAAAAGCTTGTTCAAAAACGGATATGTATCCGTAATCTAATGCTCAGAGTGACGAGGGTGAACGAGAGGAAAAGCACGATGTTTCATCACGTATTAAGGTGAAGCTTGTTGTTTTATTTTCCTTTATACACTTGAAACTTCTAATTGAAATTGCAAGTTTGTTTGCTTATTTCATTTTAACTCTCGGCTTCAGATAAAGCTTCTTATTCTTAAGTTTTAGTTTTCAAGTTTGCAAGTTTAAATTTAAGTTTTACAATTCTAAGTTTTAATTCTAAAACACGCTTACTTTTTAATTCAAGTTTGTAAACTTGAAAACTTGAAATTTACAACTTAAAAGTTTGCAAACTTGAAACTTGAAAGAAAAGTTTCAACTTGAAACTTGAATCGTTCAAACTTGAGAGTTTCTATTAGTTAAATTTTCACAATTCAAGTTTTACAATCTAGTTTTATTTATTACAAACCTTTTCTCTACTTTTAAACAAAGCTTGTTGAAGCCTAGAGTTTTTCTCTTCACTCAAAAAATCTTATTTAAGTTTTAAACAAAAATTTAAAATGGCCCGCCGCCTCTCTCACCGCTGTTTTGTTGATCAGCGGCGTCTGGACGGTTTCTCCAAACTTTTCGCGCAGTTGTTTTTGCGCCGTAACTTTATTATTTTTTGTTTTTTTTTTTGCTTTATAGAAATTCTAATCCATTTTATTAGATTCATTAGATTCTCTTATTACCTCTTAAAATTTATCTTTTCTATTTAAAATTCTATCTCTAAGTCTTAAAAATTTTCTTTTTCTTAAATTTCTTATTATTTTTTTCTCTCAAAAATCATTTTTCCTTCTTTCAGGCATTGACACAAGCCTGCCCAAAATTTAAAGCTCAGCAAGAGTTTGGCGAACTTTTTCAAAATTCTATCGACTACCACACTTTTCGCACTTACTCTGTTGCTGTCGAATTTTTGGTTAATTTTAAAAGAGAAATTTTCTAAAATCCTTCTCAATTTTCAGAGTTTTCGTATCGAAGTTTACTCCAACCAGAACAATGATTTGATAGCTCAGGGTTATGCTTTGCCTTCCTCCCTTCATGATACTTATGGGAAGACTTCCGTTCCTTTGCTCACAAAACGAGGAGTGCCTACGGGGAAGATTTACTGTGAGAGAAATTTTTCAAAAAATTTATAAAAAAAAATTTATTTTTAAGTCAGTTATCTGTTTATTCGGCCTATCCGTCTACCACATCCGCGCCCAATCATGCACAATTGCTATGCCAAATATTGGAAGAAACGAGTAACCTTGGAAGTTGGACATAGAGGAATGGGCGAATCCTATACAAAGTAAGGAGGAAAAATTAAAAAGACGAAATTTCGGGATTCATTTTCGAAATTGATTACGAATTTCGGAATCAATTTCGAAATTGATTTCGAAATTTCGGAATCAATTCGAAATTGATTTCGAAATTTCGGAATTCATTTCGGAACTTATTTCGAAATTTCGGAATTCATTTCGAAATCAATTCGAAATTTTGGAATTCATTTCGGAATCCTTTTCGAAATTGATTTCGAAATCGAAATTTTCAAAAATTAGAAAAAAAATTTTTTTACTAGGTTCGCCGTCGCCCGCGAAAACACACTTCATTCGCTCAATTCAGCAGCCAAAAGGGGTGCAGATTTTGTAGAATTTGATGTTCATTTAACCAAAGATTTAATCCCTATTGTATATCACGATTTCCACGTAATGGTTTCCGTCGCCAAAAAACGAACAAATACAGAAAGCAGCAATAGTAGTAGTATAGATTCTGATGGGAGAATTAAAAGCAATAATGGGTCTGTATCTCCCCCTAATTCAACAACTACAACGAATTCACCATCTGTGGATTTTTATCAATTGGCAGTTAAGGATTTAAATTTGAATCAGTTGAGACTGTTACATCTTGATCATGTTAAACATAAAGAGGTGGAGAATTTATCTTTTATTTTTATATATTTCGAAATCGAGGGGGATATTTCGAAATTTCGTAAATTACCGAAATTTCGTAAATTTTCGAAATTTCGAGATTTTTCGAAATTTTTGCGAAATTTCGCGTAATTTTCGATTTTGAAATGGAAAATTACTAAAAGAATCTCTTTTAAAGTCGAGCAATGTTGACCAAGCAATAAATGGTGCTTCAACCCAAAAATATAGTTCTCACCATGTTACGGGTGAACATGACGAAGCCGAGGAACACAGGCCTTTTCCAACATTGTTGGAGGCGTTAAAGAATGTTTCACATGATGTTGGGTTTAATATTGAGGTGAGGGAAATTTTCAGAATATTTTTAGTAAGTTTTGAGTGAATATTTCGAAATTTCGCATTTTTTCGAAATGTCGGATTTTTACGAAATTTTAGAATTTTTGCGAAATTTCGCAAACATTCGAATTAGGTAACTCAAAATTAAGAATTCTTATAACTTTTGCCAAATTTAACAATTTTATTTCAGATAAAATACCCCCAATTAATTGTTTCGGGAGAAAATGAAGTAGAAGGTGGATATATTGAACGCAACGAATTTCTGGACATTATCCTCTCTGAAATTTTAAACAATGCGGACAATAATAGACATATAGTTTTTTCTTCGTTTGATGCTGATATGTGCAAAATGTATTTTTTATTTTTTTAGTTTATCAAAATTGATAACTTTTCGAAATTTAATGAAATTTTACGAAATTAAAAAAATTTTTTAAGGATTTCTGAAAAGCAAAAGAAATATCCAGTGCTATTTTTATGCCTTGGCAAGCAAACACGTTACCCAGATTATGAAGATGAAAGGACACGTTCATCCCTGACCGCTGTGAAGTTTACTTATTCTTGTGGGCTTATGGTAAGAAATTTTTTGAAATTTTTAAAAATTTTGTAAATTTTTTCGAATTTTTTGAAAATTTCGAGTTAACTCGAAATTTCGTTTTCATGATAACCTTTCGAAATTAAACAAAAAAATTCCGAAAAAAATTATTTTTGTAGGGCGTCAATTTCCACAGCGAAGATCTTCTACTCGACCCAACACCAGTTTCTAAAGCTAAAGAACTCGGCCTAATCTCCTTCGTTTGGGGAGATGAGTTGGTTGAGAGGAAATATTTGGACTATTTTAAATACAAAGTTGGGGTTGAAGGAATTATTTATGATCGGTTTGAGAAGGATTTTTTTGACTAGAAAAAATTTTAATTTTAAAGTATTGGAGAAGGAGAATCAAGAAAAAACGTTTTTACGTTAGAAAAGGCAATGAGAGCCCAACTTTTCTCTTCCAAAAAATCTTCCTTTGGAAAGAAGAGTTCTTCCCCTCCAAGATGTTTTTCACACAACCAATTGAACAGCCAAGCAATTTCTTCTTTTGGTCCGGGAAATAGAACGAGAGGGATGAGTGCTTCTGTTTGGTCAAATGAATTTGTTGATCAGAAGTGGGTGTTTTCAGAATCAGAATTTCTGAATTTTTTTTTCAGAATTATTTTCAGAACCTTTTCAGAATCAGAATTTCTGAATTTTTTTTCAAATCAGAATTTATTTTTCAGAATCAGAATTATGACCAGAATTTCTTTCGGAATTTCAGAATTTTTTCAGAATTTCAGAATTTTTTTTCAGAATTTAAAAATCAGAATTATTTCGAAATCAGAATTTTTTCAGAACTTTTTTCAGAATCAGAATTTTTCAGAATTTTTTTCAAAATCAGAATTTAATTTTCAGAATAAATTTCCTTAATTTAAGTTTCGGCCGTAGCAGCATCGATGGAAGCCCTGCAATGTTTTCTATAGGCGAAACAGACATCGAACAACAACAACAAATCCAACAACAAGACCCCCAGCAACACTTTCCAATTATTCGTCGTCACAATTCTTCCCAAGCCCAAGGAACTTTCGGTTTTTTGCCAGTCCTTCCCGAAGCTTTATTGAAAACACAAACAAATGGAGGCAATATAAACAACAATTCTAGTATAAGCAGCAATAACAGCAGTACAACAATAAGTAGTGAATCAAACGAGACATTTAATAATAATGATATTGAAATGGTTACAATGAATAATAGTGCGAATAATAAAAGATTTGTGGCTGCTAGTGAAATTTGAAGAGGAAGAAAAAAATTAAATTTTTTAAAGAAGGTGCAAAAATTAATTTTCGAGAAGAAAATATTTAAAAAAAAAGCTTTTGTTCTTTTAAATATAAAAAATAAAATAATAAATTAAAAATACCCCAGAGAACTTATAAATAAATTAAAAAATAATTTTTGCAAAATCATTTTTGTATACTATTATTATTAAATAAATATTGTAATAACTTGTATCGAATATTGTGGGGAAAATTATTAAATGTGCATTAAGTATATGCCAAATCCACTACGTATTTATATTTTTATCCTGCTCAAAATATTAATTTATATTCTATATATTTAATAATTTAATAAAGTAAAGCTTTTGGTAATGTTCCACAAAGTAACATTCCAATTTCGACGTTTATTTCCGAAATCATTAAAAATTACAAAAACGCTAGTTTTGTTTTCTAGTTGGGCACTGAACAGGCATAATTAAAGCCTACAATTGACAATAAACTTTTAGCACTGAAACGTTTCTTTTTTTTCTTACGGTGGACTTCAAAATGTAAACTTTGGCTATTTCAAAATGTAAAATTGACAGAAAATGGAAACAAGGGAAATTTCTTTCAGAATCTTCATTTTGTATGGTTTTTCGCTTAATTCGTTTATCCGGCTGTTAATAATTTTTGTTTCTCCATTTTAAATAATTGTTTAGATTGACTAATTTTGGTTTTTTCAGTAAATAATGCTTCAAACCAAACAATTTACTCATTTTTTCTCCAAAAATGCTCTTCTACTTCCTCGTCATTAGTAAGCGACCTTTAAAAAATCAAAAATTATTTTCAAGTTCCTGGTTTTCCAATGTTGAAATGGGACCGCCAGATGCAATTTTGGGTGTTACCGAAGCTTATAAAAAAGATACAAATCCAAACAAAGTCAATTTGGGTGCTGGAACTTATCGAGACGATCAAGGAAAACCTTTCGTTTTGCCGAGTGTGAGAGAAGCGGAGGCACAAATTATTGCTGCTAAATTGGATAAAGAATATGCTGGAATTGCTGGGTATTTTTTTGATGATTTTAAATTTGTTTAAAAATATTTTTTGGGGTTTCTGACACTTGCGGACTTTTCTCTAGCAGCACTTGCGGATTTTTTTAAATATTTGCGGATTTTTAAAAATCCGCAAATTCTGCCCACAAATATTATTTTAACAATTTTTGACCATAATTTACTCGGTTTTTCTTTCTAATAAGTATTTTTTAGAATTCCCGATTTTACTTCAAAAGCAATCCAATTAGCGTTGGGAGACGATTCTTCTGTGTTAAAAGAGAAGAGGAATGCAACGGTTCAATCAGTATCAGGCACTGGCGCTTTACGAACTGGTTCTGAATTTTTGGTTTGTTTATTTTTTTAAAGGATATCGAAAATTTATTTAAATTTCAAATTAGTTTAGGGTAACTTGCCTTCTGGGTCGAGTCTCAGGTCCTAAAGATCTTTCCTGGGTTCGGAGTCAAGGTCACGTGAGAGATGAATCTCAGATTTAGGGTTGACTATCCAGTCAAGGACATCACTTAAACTCGGGGATCAACGTTTTCTAAATTTCAGTCCTCATTCGTCAAGCCCAAAATCTTTTAATATTTTTTAAGTCCAAATGGTTTTCTTCTTCAAAAGTTGTTTATCAACCAACACCAACTTGGGGCAATCATTTACCTGTCTTCAAATTTGCTGGAATGGAAATTAAGCGTTATCGTTATTACGACCCTAAAACTTGTGGATTTGATGAAAATGGCTGCTTGGAGGATATTTTGGCTATACCTAAAGGTTCCGTGATTCTTTTACATGCGTGTGCCCATAATCCGACAGGAGTTGATCCAAATGTTTGTTTTTTAATTTTTTTAATTGATAAATAGGGATGGACTAACAATAAGCAATCAAAATTGTTTTTTTAGTCTCTTTCCTCTTTCACTCTTCTTCGTAGGGATAGAAAAATTTTTGAAATCTACAGAATAGATTTTTTTCTCAACAATTTCTTAACCTTAAATAATTTAATTGGCATCTTCAAATTTTTTGTAGCAAACGAGAGGAACAGTAACAAATATTCAAACCTAAAATTCCCTGATTTTTGGACTTTTTTTTTGTTTCCACTTCCTAGCAAACAGCACCCTAGTTTTTAAATATATTTTGCCTCTCTTCCTTTCTTTTACCTCTATTTTTTCTTTTTAAGCCAGAACAATGGATCAAAATATCAGAAGCTTGTAAACAACGCCAACTTTTTTGTTTCTTTGACATGGCATATCAAGGCTTTGCTTCTGGTGATGTAAACAGAGATGCTCATGCTGTTAGATATTTTGTGGAATCTGGACATAATATTTGTTTGGCTCAATCTTTTGCTAAAAATATGGGACTTTACGGTTTTTTTTTGGATTATACTTGTTGGGTCTTACTATAAGCCGAGTGTGTAGCCTGGCTGAGGTAAACGTCAAGATTTTAGCTCTCTGAAATCGACCCCCTGGCTACGCCCTTGCTATAAGCTATGCCCCCAAAATTAGAGGCTCTTTTCTAATTTATGAGTCCATTGAACCCTCCTCACGGTTCCAATAAAAAATTTATTTCTTTTCGCTGTACTTTCACCCCCTCTCTTATTGTGAGATTCAATCGGGATTTTAGTTAAAAAAAATTTTTTTAAAGGTGAACGTGTCGGTACATTTTCAATAATTTGTGAAAACGAGGAAGAAGCTAGCCGTGTACTTTCTCAATTAAAAATTATCGTTAGACCAATGATTTCAAATCCACCAATTCATGGGGCACGCATTGCTGCAAAAATACTTGGAGATCCTGTTTTGAGAGCACAATGGTAAGGGAAAGGTTTTTGAAAAAAATTTTAATAGGGAAAAGGAATGAAGAAGGGGGTATTTTCTGAAACATTTCTTCAGAAAAAAATTTTTTGCGGACATCCGCAACATTTTGCGGATATCTTCAAGATGTTGTCTTTTCGGAAATTTTTTTTTCAAAAATTTTTTTTAAATTTTTACAGGCTCGTAGACGTAAAAGGAATGGCAAATCGTATAATTACAATGCGTGATCAACTCAAAGAGCTTTTAATACGTGCGGGTTCTCAGCGTAATTGGGACCATATAGTTAATCAAATTGGAATGTTTTGTTATACTGGAATAAGTCCTGAACAGGTTTTGTTTTTATTAAAAAATTTTTTTTAAATGCGGACATTTGCAAAATGATGCGGATGTCCGCAAAAAATTTTTTTTGAAAATTTTTATATTTTTCAGGTTGATCGTTTAACAAAGGAATTCAGCATTTATTTAACTCGAGATGGACGTATTTCTGTAGCTGGAATATCTTCAAAAAATATTGAATATTTGGCTAATGCTTTACATCAAGTTACCAAATGAACGCGAGTAAAAATTATTTTATAAAAAGAAAAAGGAATTATTTTAGAAAAAATTATGAAAGGGGAGAATTAATTTTGAAAGATTTTTTAAGCTTTAGGCACTTGAAAATTTTTTGCATTTTGACATAATATTTACGTAGTATTAGACAATTATTTTTTTGTGATTTTAAATTAAATTTAGACTGGTTTTTTTTTGGAAATAAAAAGAGGTGCATTTAAAAATATTTTTTTGAAAAAATATAAAATTTCCTTTAAAGATTAAAATTTGCGGGGACTTTGGGGAAGTCTGCGAGTTTTTTAAAAAGCCCGCAAATTTTTTTTGGATCAAAAATCCAACTAATTTTTATTGTCTTCTCTAAAAGTCCTCAAAGCTTTTGGGGTTCCGTAAAAAGGTCGGGAACTTTTTTGGTTAGTTGCTTTTTTGGGGAGTTGGTCAAATTTTTCTAAAAATAAAAAATTATTTAATATAATTTTTTAAGTAAACTTTATTTAATAAATTCTAAATAATTTTGAAAAAAATATATATTTTTCAAATTTCAGTAGAAGCAACATTCTGAATAAACTTCAAATTAATTTTTTTATTAATTTGTTTTTGTTGCTCATCATTATCTTCATCCTCATAATTTTGTGGCATTGTAGAATAACGTCTTTTTTCTAATAAATTTTGATGTTTTTGTTGTCCTTCCCCTAATTGTTCCTTTCCATCAATAAATAAAAAAGAAGAATTGTCATCATCACATAAATTAGTTATTGTCCTCCTTCTTGTATTATTTGATGAAGAATTTTTATTTAAAAATAATAAATTGTTGTTTAAATTTGTTTCATGATTAGCTGCTTCTATTAATATTTTTAATTGTTCTTGAGTCCGTTTTTGGTCATTCTCTTGTTGTTGCTGGTTTAAATTGGTGTCGTTATGTCGTTGATGTAGGTTCCTTATTGAAGATTGCTCTGGTTCTTCCTCCTCGTTTGATGAACTTTCTATATCTACTGTTTCTGCTACATAACCTCCGTTAAGTAAAAGTTGGGTATCTTTAAGAAAAAAAATTTGTTTTTGAGGGGGAATTTTTAAGGCCTAAAAATAGGCCAAAATGTGTTGGAAGAGTCTTAAAAATATTTTTCTAAATCAGAATTATTTCTGAATTTTTTGTTTAGTGTTCACTTTGTAGCCAACACTCTCCTCTATCATTTGATATATAAATTAGAATTGTTGGATGATTCAAAGAAAAGTTATAGGCTCTAAAAGAGTTATGGACAAGGAGAACAAGCAAGATCAGAATACTTGTAAAAATCAGAATTTTTCTGAAAGTTCTGATTTTTCCAAAATTTTTCTGCTAATTTATACCCCGCACCCTCCTCTATTTCCCAATCCAAATGTAAATTTTATCCTCTACCTCTTTGTTTACTTTGTTGGTGTTTAAATGGACATTCACGCGAGGAAGAGTCAAATCCGGCCCTTAATTGGTCTACAAGACAAGCAGTTAAAACAACCCATGCCTGACTAGCACCGGGTAAATCACGAACAGCTTCTTGATTTCTTAAAAAATATTTTTGGAAATTAAAAAAAATAAAAAAACTAACACAACAATATCAATAACCGCCTCTCCAAACGCCTCCCACAAAGCACTAGTAAACCTAAATGAGAGAAAATACAGTATACCAACTAATTCCCTTTTTCAACTCGGAATGTCAATTTGATATAATTTCAGAATTTCAAATTTCTAAAAACGACAAACCCGTAAGGCCGAAGATATCCATGTGCTTGACCAAGAAGTTTAGGATCAAACCCGCCTTTAATTTTTTTGATTTTTAAAAGTGGATTTGAGTAAACCCACTATCAGTGTCAGTCCTTTTGTTCTGCTCCACATCCAAATTTTTAATTGCAGCTTCAAACATTTTAACTATAAGGCGAGCCTTGAAAAAATATCTTTTGAATATGAACTTTTTTAAAATCTTCCAGCCTTAACCTCGCTATAAGATACCCCTATAAGTTCTTCGAAATGCCCATTTTCAAACGCCCAGTTTTTTTTCGTCATTGGAGTGGGGAGGAGTTGTCTAGCGATATCTTGTGTTTAGGATACACCTTCTTATAAGCTACCCTCTATTTAAGGTACTTCTCTTTATATGATACTGTAGGATACACCCTCTGTCCCAAAGGAGGCATCCTATAGTGTAGTTCTACCATATTTTTTCCCTTACATGATCTCTAGGACTAGCAATTTCACATCTGGACATTGCAGATATAAACGTTCTTGTATTAAACATCTCTCTCATTATTGGAATTTTATCTATAAAATTTTATTTTAATTTAAAATTTTATTTAAAAAACTAAACGCATCATTCTTTCAAATACTTCTTCAAATACAGTTTCGATTCTTTTCCCTCCATTTCTAGTTAATAAACGTTGCCATGTGAAACGCAAAGCTCTTTTGTGGAGTTTTGTAAAACGATCCTCGTAATTGTAGTGACGAATTGTTGAGGCTCGAAACCCTTAATTTTGGAGGATTTGGTAGTAAAATGCCCAATTTTCCAAAGGTCCAGCTTTTTAAATGTCAACCGAAACCCTTAATACCTCTTCTCAAACAACAATTGCCGGAACTGTGATGGAACAATTGGTGTTGTCGTTGCTGCCTTTGATGAGCGAGCATAAGCAAATGTTGTTCTGATTCAACGATCGAAGGCATCGAACTCGTACGACGCATAGCCGCTGCTTTGCTTCCATATCCAGCTGGCGATGGCTCATTCCTTTCAATTTCGTCTGAAGGCAACGAAGCATCTGTCCGTTGACGAACTGCGCACCTTTAAGGGGAAAAATTATTGAAAATATCAAATAGTGGAAATATTTCAAAATGTCAAAAATCGTTTGGTCAACCTAACCCATTATCTTGTTGTTTATTAGCTCCATTCGTGGAAAGCAGGGCCAAGTCGTTAAAGGATCGTCTGAAAGTTCGAGCTGCATTCCATCCAATACCCGAGAGTAAAACAGAATGGACGGCTGTAGAGACTAATTGACAAGAAAGGCGTCGAGTTGATTGACGTCGGGATAAGTGGAATCGTTTTGGGGGTAATGGAGAAGAACGTCCAGAAGAAGATTCTCGGGAATGAGTTATACAAGAGGAGAGACGTCGGGCAACTAGTGAAGAACGACGTCTAATATTAGACATATAGAATAGTTATAGACTAAAATATATTAGAGAGTAATTAGAGGCAAAATCAGAAAATCAGCATTTTCAGAATTTTTATTTAAAACTTGAGCTATAATTCTGATAAAGTTTAATTAATAGTAAACTTAGTTTGTAAATTTCCAGAAACTTAAGAATAACTAATAAACTTAAGCATACACTTAAATAAAATTTGAGTTTAATTAATAACTTAAGTTTACAAGTTTAAAAAACTTTAGTTTATCAATAAACTTAAACTTTCCGGAAACATGTTTATTTATATTAAACTTTAGGTGATGCGACTTTTGCGGCGCGTACACTTGCGGCTCAGACATTTGCGGCCCAGACACTTGCGGCTCGCCCCTATTTTGACACTTGCGGTCCCGACACTTGCGGCTAAGAAATTTTCGGCGCAGACATTTGCGGCTATCAACTTGAGGCCCAGACACTTGCGGCCCAGACTATTGCGGTTTTGACATTTGAGGCTTCCCCCTATTGTGACACTTGCGGCCCGACATTTGCGGTTTTGACATTTGCGGCCCCGAAATTTGCGGCCATGATTAAAAAATTAAGTAAATTTTTTAATGAAAAAGTAATCTTAATTAATTTTTAAAGTAATTTTTTTAATTTTACCACTATTTTTCCATGCTAATTTTTAAATATTTATTAAAAATCAGTACAATTTTAATAATGGGCATTTTAAGGATCAATAAATAAAGAGAATAGAAGGATTTGGAGAAGATATCGCGGAATTTATGTTAATTAAGAGAAATTAAAAGGATTGGTGAAGGGAGGGGGGGTGAGTAATTAAGATTAATCCATCTAAGTCCCGTGATATTTCCTTTAATATCAACCTTATATCTCCCTAAAAATTCCTCAAATATACCTAGATTTCTTTTAATAATGGCATTTATCATTATCAAAAAATAATTTCGTCTCAAATTGTATTAAGTGCATCTGACCTTCATACATCTATTATGAACAATAATAATGAAAATTACCCAGGGTAATTAATACATTGGGTTAAGGATCTGAAAGTTAAGGATTTGAGAGAAATCTCTCATTATGGATTTGAGAATTAGAATCAAAATCTATTGACCGATATTAATTGAACGATAAATTAGTGTTTTTTATTTTAATTTACTTAATTTTTACGGGGCCGCAAATGTCATAACCGCAAATGTCGGGCCGCAAGTGTCACAATAGGGGGAAGCCTCAAATGTCAAAACCGCAATAGTCTGGGCCGCAAGTGTCTGGGCCTCAAGTTGATAGCCGCAAATGTCTGCGCCGAAAATTTCTTAGCCGCAAGTGTCGGGACCGCAAGTGTCAAAATAGGGGCGAGCCGCAAGTGTCTGGGCCGCAAATGTCTGAGCCGCAAGTGTACGCGCCGCAAAAGTCGGCTAATCAAACTTTAGACTTTCCGGAAAATATAAATAGAAATATTAAATTATTTATTAAACTTTCCGGAAACACATCTTAAGTTTACAAACTTGACAGAAGCTCAAGTTTATTAATAAACTTAAGCATGATCTTGTGCAAACTTAAGTTTTAAGGTTGAAAAAAAGTTTTAAGTTTAAACTTAAAACTTTACAACACAGTTACTTTAAATATACTATAATTTGACTATCCGCCTACTTTATTGAGTTAAAATATATTTTTTATTTATTTTATTACAAGAGAATTGTGTTCACTTAAAGCGAGACTTGGAAATTGAATTTTCTACGTCTTTAAGAGGTTGCAATATAAAAATGAGAAGAATTTGTGTGTTGATTAAATTTTATTTATTTTTAGTTTCATAGAAAAGCTTTTATGGATTATCCAATTTTAGAAAATGGAACGGGGTCATGGATGAGAAATTTTTGAATAAATATAGTGTGTTGATAATTAGAATATTTTTAAAAAATTATTAAAAATAGAAAATTACTTTTTCGGTTTTTGAAGCCGATCTTGTTGCTGTAGTTGGTTGTCCAATATAAAAGCAGAAGTTGGCGAGGTTTTCTATAAGTGATATTATGGGTTAAGATATTTTTCCGGAAACAAATCTAATGTTTATTAAAGTTTATAAACTTTCCGGAAAATATATAAATTATAATTAGTCGTTAAACTTTCCGGAAATACATCTAAAGTTTACAAACTTAAAAGTCTAATGTCTACAAACTTAAAACTTTCTGGAAAGTATAATTATTTCCGTCCGGAAACATCTAATGTTTATAAATATCAAACTTTAGATTTTCCGGAAAATAAACAAATATTATATAGGTTTATTTAACCTTCCGGAAACCCATCTAAAGTTTATAAACTAAGTTTACAAACTTAACATTATAAACTTAAAATGTAAACTTAACGAACCAAGTTTACAAACTTAAAAATAATTATTTTAAAGTTTATTATTTTAAATATGTACAAGCTGTCACCTCTCTTATATCAACATCTCCATTCCCTCCCCCATCTCCATTAATACTTTTTGGAGAAAATTCAACTAATTCGATAACAGCCAAATCATCATCAACCTCTGTATTATTTGTTTTTATTTTTAAATTTTGTTTTAAAGTTCCAGTTTTGACTGGACAATTTAATGTTGTTGTGGCAACCGCAATACTTTCAACTCCACTAACGCCTCTAGAAAGTTTTTCTCGTTGTTCGTGTTGTTTAGCTGCTGCTTTTGCTTTTTCTTCTTGTTGTTCTAATTGGTGAAGAAGACGACGGCCTCGAACAATTTTTGCAATTAAAAACATTTTTTAAAATTGTTTTTAAAGCTAAAAAAGGGGGAAGATTAGTTGAAAATGGACGTCCGAATTATTTTAAAAAATCACAACTTTTTAAAATTTTAACCAAAAATTTTAATTTTTGGTCATTTTATAGATTAAAGTCTCCTTTATATTTTGGTTTTTAATTTGTAATTATTGAGTGAGTTAATCAAAAGTTATAGGCTTTTAAGCAAGTCGAGGTCAGCTTAAGCAAAGCAGGACTAAAGGCTTTTAAAAATTCAAAACTTTTTTAAACCTTAACCAAAAATTTTTATTTTTAGGTGTTTTATAGTATAAAATCTCCTTCATAATTTGAGATGAGAATATAAATTAGGAAGCAATTAGAAAAAAGTTAGGTTCCTTTAAGTGATGTTAGGTTGCCACTTTTAAAGAAATTATTTCTTTTTAAAAAAATTTATTTTTTTAAAAATCAGAACAAATTAAAAGATTAAATTTCAGAGGGTTTAAATGAATTTTTTTCAATTTAAATGTCAACAGATTTAACAAGAAAAAATATTTTTCTAGCAAAAAATATTTAAGTAAAAGCTTTTAATTTTCTCCATATTTTTAAAAAGGAGGAACAAAAAAGGGTAAAATGAGGGAAATTTTTTTGTTGTCATCAATTTAAAAAAACATTAAAAATAATGAAAAAATAGGAGAATTAATGGAAGGAACGGAAGCATAAAAAAAATAAAAAATAAAAAAATTTTGTGAGAGAAAATATTTATTTGTAGTATTGTTTTTCTTCCTATTTTTCCACTTCATTTAAAAAATAAATAATTTTTTAGTTAAGCCAATATTTGGGATTTTTAAATTTTTTAAATTTTTATTTTTTGTTTTCCCATGAAGAATACATTTTTTAACATAGGGAAAGTCTGGGAATTTTTAAAATATTTTTTAAAAATTTTTTATGTTGAAATATATGAAAATAATTTTTATATTTTCTTGAAACTAAAGCCATAAATGAAAATAAAAAAACGGATTAAATGACATGAAAATATATTTTTTAATTAATTGGAGAAAGAAAATCCCCTTCCATAAAAATATTTTACTATTTTTAATTAAGATGATTTTTAAAGAATTTATGGATTATGGCAAGTAAATCTATTTTGGTTTAAATTTAGAAATAAATGGGGTATTTTAGAGAAAATATTTTTTTAAAGAATTTTTAGAAATTTTTAAAAATTTTAATTTTTGGTTATTTCATAGCTTAATGTCCCCTTTATTTTTTGGTTTTTAAATTGTAATTATTGAGTAATTTAATCAAAAGTTATAGGACTTTGAGTAGGTCGAGGTCAGCCTATGAAACGCATGAACAAGAGGATTTTTTAAATTTTAAGAATAGGGCCAGAGAATAAGTATTCACAAAATTAGTCTATAAAGACCTATAATTTTTGCCTTTTAAAAAAACTTTTTTAATGTAAAAAATATTTTTATATATCCATTTCTAAGAAAAACTTAAAGTCAAGTTCGTGACTACAACCAATTTTTCAAAAAAAGTGAAAGATATTTTCTCACAAATTTAACCATAAATTAAGTGTATTTATTCCTTCAGATTTCTTTTTTAACTTTTAATTAATTTTTCATGTTTTTTTGAGTTTTAAACTTTGATTTTTGTGTGTTTTGTTTATCTGTTTTGACTAAATCCTAAGCCTTGGCGCATGCAAGTTGCTAACATTTGAATGAACATAACTAAGGGTTAAATTAACCGATTAGGTAGATTTTGGTATTTTTGGATAGAAAATTGAATGGGCTATTAAATGATATAATGATAAAAATTTTATGTTGAAAGGAAAAAAAGTTGAGGGCAAAAAACCGTGAAAAAATGGAATTTTTGCCATTAAACGGAGTTTCAAGGATTGTATTAATTCCTAGTTTGCTTAACTAGAATATAAATCTATCCTTTATTTAGCTAAGAAAAAGATTCTTTAAATAAAAAAATTTTTCTAATAAAAAAAGAGATTTTTAAACATTAATTTCATATAAAAATAAATGGTTGTATTACATTTATTTATTTAAATAATTTATTTTTCGGTTTATTTACTTTGGCTTTATGCCTAAAAATAAGAAAAAAGAAAAAGATATTTTATTCAAAAAAATTAATCAAAAATTCCCTTACCTATAAAGTAATTTAATATTTAGTTAAAAATATATACTAGCTAATAACTGGTAGTCACGCTTATTTTTTGATGTCTTGTGATTTATTAATAAAACTTGAAAAGTTTCAAGGAGAATAAAAAAGGTTGTAATAATTGTAAAATAATAATGAAATTGAAATTAAGCTTACAAACTTAAAAAAGTTACAAGGAGAATACGGAAAACTTGAATTATTTTGAAAGAAGAATCCGGAAAATAGTAAAGAGAATTAAGTTTACAAACTTAAAGTTTTCCGGAAAACTTGAATTATTCTAAAATAAGTATTCCGGAAAATAATAAGGAGAATTAAGTTTACAAACTTAAAGTTTTCCGGAAAAACTTGAAGTAATTTAATAAAGTAATCCGGAAAGAATACAAACTTAAGTTTACAAACTTGGATAGAAAAAGTTTTATTTTAAAGTTTAAATAAACTTAAATTTACCAACTTGAAGCTTTCCCTTTGGAGACAGGTAAAATAAAGTTTTACAAACTTAAGGGCAAAGTTAATGCCAGAAAATAATTTTAAGAACCAGGAATAAGAAAATTTTTTTTTTAATATTTGGAAATAAATATAATTTTGAATAATTTTTATATATTTACTGAACCAAAGAAATAAGACAAGAAAAATAAAGGTAAAAAACACAAACCCCCCAAATATTTTCAATCTGTTCTGCCAACCATAAATTTAATGGAAAGGGCAATGTGTATAGAAAAAGATTAATGGATTATTGTTATGTAAATAAAATGAAAAAAAAATAGAAGGAAATGAAAGAAAGATTAATTAATGCTAATATTAAAAAATAAAAAAAAACTAGGAAGCAAAATTAGAAGAAAAAAATTATTTAAAATGAAAGGCTTATAAGTATTTGAATATTGCATATTTAAGCCTGTCATTACCAGAAATAAAATAATTTATTCTGAAATTAAAATTGGCAATTTTTAAATTATTATTGAAGGAATTCTAATAGAAAAAGGAAGAAGAATTAAATCAGAATTTTTAATTAAATCAGAATTGTAATTATTTTACAATTGTAAAATAAATGAGACATTAAAGAATAAATATAATCCGAAAAGATATAATGAGAGTTATATTGTTTCCGGAATATTGTTTCCGGAAAATAATAATGATATTTATTCTTCCGGAAAAATAATAATAAATATAAATATATTGCTTCCGGAAAAGAATTAATTCCGGAAAAAAATAATAATATTTATGGGAGTATTGTATTTATTAAGACAATTGAAATATCAGAATTATGTATCAGAATAAGTAGCAGAAGTAAAATTTCAATAAACCAAAATTATAAATATTTATGTAAAGCTTATTTTTCACTAATTTTTTATCAATACTTTTTAAAGCAAAAAATACTTGGATGAATTGAATTTTATAAAAAAAAGGATTTTAAATAAAATAAAATTTTTGTGGAAGGTAGTGACAGTGTGGGAGAAAAAGCATTTAAAGTAGTTTTGTTTTACTAATTGCTAATTATCAATATTAAATGATGTGAAGGAAATTGGCTGTAAAAAGGACAGAAAATTTAAAAATAGAAAGAAAATATTTATATATTTGTTGAAGATTTATAAATGAATTTTTAAGGACATTTTTGTGGTAAAAAAGAGAAGAAGGATATGTTTTAATGAGGTACTCTATATACTCTATATACGATAAGATTTCAGAAAAAATTTTTGTTTACCCCAATATTTTAAAAATAAATATAATTTATTTAGGGGTTTTATTCGAGGGATTATAACTTTGGGATAATGGAAGTATATTTATTCGACTCACCATTTTTATTATCAGTTAAAAATGTACTTTCATATGAGCTATCGTTTCTCTATATACGATAAGATTTCAGAAAAAATTTTTGTTTACCCCAATATTTTAAAAATAAATATAATTTATTTAGGGGTTTTATTCGAGGGATTATAACTTTGGGATAATGGAAGTATATTTATTCGACTCACCATTTTTATTATCAGTTAAAAATGTACTTTCATATGAGCTATCGTTTCTCTATATACGATAAAATTTCAGAAAAAATTTTTGTTTTACCCCAATATTTTAAAAATAAATATAATTTATTTAGGGGTTTTATTCGAGGGATTATAACTTTGGGGTAATGGAAGTATATTAATTCGACTTATCATTTTTATTATCAGTTAAAAATGTACTTTCATATGAGCTATCGTTTCTCTATATACGATAAAATTTCAGAAAAAATTTTTGTTTTACCCCAATATTTTAAAAATAAATATAATTTATTTAGGGATTTTATTCGAAGGATTATAACTATGGGGTAATGGAAGTATATTAATTCGACTCACCATTTTTATTATCAGTTAAAAATGTACTTTCATATGAGCTATCGTTTCTCTCTATACGATAAAATTTCAGAAAAAATTTTTGTTTTACCCCAATATTTTAAAAATAAATATAATTTATTTAGGGATTTTATTCGAAGGATTATAACTATGGGGTAATGGAAGTATATTAATTCGACTCACCATTTTTATTATCAGTTAAAAATGTACTTTCATATGAGCTATCGTTTCTCTCTATACGATAAAATTTCAGAAAAATTTTTGTTTTACCCCAATATTTTAAAAATAAATATAATTTATTTAGGGATTTTATTCGAAGGATTATAACTATGGGGTAATGGAAGTATATTAATTCGACTCACCATTTTTATTATCAGTTAAAAATGTACTTTCATATGAGCTATCGTTTCTCTCTATACGATAAAATTTCAGAAAAAATTTTTGTTTTACCCCAATATTTTAAAAATAAATATAATTTATTTAGGGATTTTATTCGAAGGATTATAACTATGGGGTAATGGAAGTATATT